TATAGCCAAATTTCCAAAAAGATACACTTAGTAGTTTCGCTTAAAATGCAAGTTTTGTGAAAATTCGTAAATTTCGCATTTCTTGAAAACCAATTTTTGAATTGTTCTGAAAATTTGGATATAAGCTTGATTTTTGATTCTCTACAACTTTTCCATTGACACCAAAATGGGTTTCTTTTGAAGAAAGTGCTCAAACTGTCACATATGACAATAGCCGACAGTTTTCAATTCACCAACCCAATAGAACCAATTTAGTCGTGAGTCCTGATGATGAATATCTAGTTAATGCCCTCTGGAGAAAGGAGATCAACTGCGTTATGGTGTAATAGCTAGCACAATTGCCCGGTAAGCGAAAGGTCACGGGTTCGAGTCCCGGCGGCGTACGAGTTTTTGATCTGCCCTAGCTCCAAAGTGAAAGTGCTCAAACTGTCACATATGACAAAAGGCCGCAGTTTTCAATTCACCAACCCAATATTTTATTGGATGGTTTATAAAAGACTTTTCTAAACTTTGAAACTATTTGACAGGAAATTTAGAAATAAAAATGAGATTTAGATTTAGAAAGGTTGGGGTTGAAAGAAGAAAACAGCTGAATCAACAGGGAAATTCACGTAAATAAAGAGATTGAGATGGGAATTTTGATCTAATCGTTTTAAAAAAAATAAAATATCTGTTTAAAACTCTAAAAAGATCTGCAAAACATTTAAAATTGCTAGATTTTATAATAAAATAAAAGAAAATAGAAATTTCTGTTTAGGGGAAAGTTTAAAAGCTTTATAAAGATCAGAAAAATATCAAAAAATTTTCAATTTATCAATTTTAGAACTGGAATTGAGTTTTATACAAATTATAAATAAGATTTTTAACAAAGATAAGATCCAATGGGAATCTAAAATAGATACAATGGATACAGATACCGTATTTTCTCTAATAGTAGTGCACCGCGCCGAGCCGAGTTGATGACTATTTTACGGCTTCCAAAGTTTTCACAGAAGCTCAACACTCTAATGCCCCACTAGATCTCATCGTCAGCTACATTTTCCGACCCCACATCGATAGGTTCTGATAAGCGGTTCTCGAGATCTATACCAAAATACCGTATACTCTCTAATAGTAGTGCACCCCGGCGAGCCGAGTTGATGATCTATAGTTCGAACTGGCTTGGTTTAACCATCAACCTTTTGACCTAGTAGAAATGGTACAAAAGGCGGCCCGGTCTTGTATCTGATTACCGTATTTCCCCGCCGAGCCGAGTTGGTGACGATTTTACGGTTTCCAAGCTTTTGCAGAAGCTCAACACTCTAATGCCCCACTAGATCGCATCGTCAGCTACATTTTTCGACCCCACATCGATAGGTTCTGATAAGCGGTTCTCGAGATTTCGAGGAATTTAGGCGATATTTTAGAAGCGAGGTTTAAAACTGAAACTTTATATAAAAAACGGTTCCAATAGAGAAATTTCCAGTTTTCTGATTTGATTTTGTTTTTGCGTTCATCTTTTTATCTAAAAACTGGATTAAGGAAAGTTTGATTGAAGACAGTTTTCTCAAAAGGCGCCATAAACCAATCAATTAAAAAAAATCTTCAAAACTAACCACTAGATTGATCTCGTATTTTGATAAAAACGTTTTCAATGATAGGTTTTATTTGCTGCAAAACTTTTATGCAAAACATTGATGATGGGGTTTTTGAGAAATTATACTTTAAAAGTTGATAAGGAAATTCTACAAACTTATCGACCAGCCTAATATATTAACGCGTGTTAATATGTTTTTTGTTCCTGGCTCTGATTGATAATTGGTCAAGAATTACTCAAAAAGATTGCTTTTAGAAGAAACTTGAGAGTGTAGAGAAGAAGGGATCTCTTCTAGACATCAGTGGCCACAAAGAGCAACTTTTGAAGAGCTTTTCTAGAAATTTGTTATTATTTTACCAGCTTGCTTGATGATACTTGGGTTAGTTTCGAATTTCCCATTCAATTGAGTTAAAAGTCATTTTTGAGATAGCATACAATTAGAGACTTGATGATGGGGTTTTTGAGAAATTATACTTTAAAAGTTGATAAGGAAATTCTACAGATTAGTCGGCTAGCCTATTACTTTCGAATTTCCCATCCACTGGATCCATTCTAGCTCTTATAACTTGCAATATGTTCAAAAAGAGTTCAAATAATTGGCCAAGAATTACTCAAATTGCTCAAGATTGCTTTTAGAAGAAAATTTGCTTAAATCTGATTCTTTAGTTTGCTAGATCAATAGATGAAAATATAAATAAGCTTGAAAATTAGGCAAATAAGAAAAGATAGGAGTTTCGATACGAAGAAAGTCACCATGAACGGTGTTTGTAAAGCTTAAGTGATTGTGAATCAACCCACTTGATTCCTTTCTTGTTGAATACCATTTCCTTTTGCTTGTTCCCTATCTAACAGAAAGGAGATTGTGAAATGATTCACTTGTGTTTATCACGATTCTTTTCACTCTTTCCCAGCTTATTTTGTCTTTTATGGCACAGAATTCTTTAAAAGAAAATAAAAGAAAATAAACAACCATAGAAAGTAAAGATTTAATAAATATTTTTCAAGAGTGCATAGATTAAAATTGTAAACTTTAACTAAAATAAATCCTTGATAATTTGCCAAAAAAAAAATGAGTTTAAACTTTGAAGATAGTTTGAATGAATTCTCTAAACGAAAAGCAAATCGATTTGCTTTCAATCATTGCACGAATCTAAATAAACATGTGATTGAGTTGGCAAAAATTTTGTGTTTTGTTGAATTCACTGAAAAATTCGATCACAAAATGAATAACAGGAAATGAGATTAAAATTTTGAATCCTGTTTTATGTTTTGCTTTTAAAAATGAAGAACTAGAAGCTAGAGTCTGTTTTTTTGTAGATTTGTAAATACTGGTTTTCTACTGGTTTTGTAGAAAGCATGTTTATAAAACGTTTTGTTACAAAAATCCAGCACTTGCAACAATTTTTTGGAGATTATTGTAGAATGATTGAAAGGAATGACTAAAATAAGTTGATTGGTTTCTCGTGGCATAGATCTAGAACTTGTAAGTCAGTTAGCCCATCTACCAGCCAGCCAATCTACCAGTCAGCCAATCTACCAGCCAGCCAATCTACCAGCCAGCCAATCTACCAGCCAGCCAATCTACCAGCCAGCCAATCTACCAGCCAGCCAATCTACCAGCCAGCCAATCTACCAGTCAGCCCATCTACCAGCCAGCCAATCTACCAGTCAGCCAATCTACCAGTTAGCCAATCTGCCAGTCAGCCAATCTATGAAAAAGTCAAGGTCTGGACTTTTTGTGAGCCAAGCTTGTATCAGGCTAGCCCAGGCAAAACCAACAGTCAGGCCGGGAGCTGAGCTAGCTCAGAATCCTTGTTAAAACCCTGCTAACAAGTCAGCCAATCTACCAGCCAGCCAATCTACCAGCCAGCCAATCTACCAGTCAGCCAATCTATTCTTGAAAGTGTCTTCTCTCTTCCCCTTAGCCAACCTGCTAACAAGTCACCTTTCACAGCTGACTTCCCATATCTTGTCTGGAATATTTTCTGTATCTGTAATATAAGTGCTGTTACAAATTGTTTTGGCTAAGTGAAACAGCTTGATCTTAAAAGCTTGCTTCACGTTGCTCTCGAAAAGCTCTAGTTTAATAATGAACTGGGTTTTTCTTACTCAAAATCTAAAAAGAATAAAAAAAGAATAACCTAATTGTGTGTGTGTTCTTGAAAGTGTCTTCTCTCTTCTCCTTTCTTTCAATCATCTTCATGGGGGTATTCATTTGAGTATCTCTATTTATCCGAAAAAAAATCTCATCTCTGAATATCTTCACTCAATATCTCCATGTCTTTTTCTTATTGGCTTTTTTAAAATCTTTTTCTTTCGAAGCTTTTTGCAGGAAGGCTCAATTTTCTGTATAATTTCTTCAATCCATAAATTAAGGGTAAAGAAAGTTTATTTGAAATGGCTTTTTGAATTTGTTTCGTTTATTTGAACTGACTTTTTGAATCTATTTCTTTTATTTGAACTTATACTGAGTTTTCTATTAGGTTGTCCAATAAGTAATGCGTGTTTTGACACGATTTTCAAAATATCACAAAATTAACAAAAGAGAACTTTATTAATCGATATATTCTCCACAACAATCAACAACATTTCTCCATCGTCCGAGCAAAGAGTGAAGTCCGTCATAATAGAATGAAGCTGGTTTCGATGAGAAGAAATCGTCGAGCCATTTTTGCACCTCGTCAACACTTTTGACTCGTTTCCGTCCGCAAATCGTTTAAACCAGCGCTGGCACTGGCTGATTGAAATTGAATCCTCTCCAAATGCGGCACAGATAGTTCGATGGCAATCCGCTGCAGTTTTACCTCGTTTGAAATCATACAGCATTGATGCGCGGACAACAAACTTTTTGTCTTTCATCTGCAAAACAACATATCTATTATAAAACAAAGGCAAATGAATAAAATAATATATATAAACACAAGATGCTGTGATTAAAAGAGCATATATTTGCTCGAAGCGATTTCATAGTTTCGAATGTACCGCTTCTTATTGGACACCTATTAACTCTAAATTCAACTTGTTACTTGTTTTTCTTTGTTTCTCTCAATCTTCACTGCATTATTGAACTTTTCATATGAAAATCTGATTTCTACAACTCTAAATTCAATCTGTTACTTGTTTTTCTTTATTTTTCTCAATCTTCCTGCATTATTGAACTTTTCTTGTGAAAATCTGATTCCTACAACTCTAAATTCAATGCTTCTTCCTTATTTTTCTCAATCTTCACTACATTATCGAACTTTTCTTATGAAAATCTGATTTCTACAACTCTAAATTCAATGCTTCTTCCTTATTTAAAGCTTAATTTCCATTACATAAAGCTTTTTAAACTTTCAGAGATGATATTGATCGAAAAAACTTGACAAGTGTTGGTTAACAAGTGTTGATTGACGAAATTTGGCAAGTGTTGACTGACAAAACAATGGCGACGAATACAACGCGTTTGCTGGGTTCGTTTATCTTTCAATCACTTCATTTTCTGCATTGGATAAGTCGAATTTGATTGCCTAAGTGCTCTAGAATCTTGCATTCTATTAAATTATAATGTATTGAATAAGAAAAAGTAATATCAGATAAAGCTAAAGTCAAACAATATCAATCAATCAATTGACACTCAATCAATTGGCAATCCATCAATCAATTGATAATCAATCAATATTAAATGAAGAATAACAAGCTATAAGATATTCTTGTAAACAAAAAAAACTGCTTTATCAATTAATTTAGTGCAATTTTTTAAGTTTTGCAAGTTTCCTTTTCAATTTATTGGGTTGGGGAGAATGAGTCGGCGCCGAAAATGAAAAAAATATCTAAAACTTCTATTCGACTTCGTCAAATAATATGCGTTTGATATGAGTAGAATGGTTAACTAATTCTCTACAAAATGACATTTAAAAGAAAATTCAAACAGCGCCTCCGCTCAAGAAAAAGCCATTTTTTAACAAAAACTACAAACTGTGATCTAGAAAAAACCATTGGTGGGATCTTCCTGCAAATTTGGCAACTTAAGTAATTGAATGTGCTCTATCTTTTTTATATAAACACCAAAGAAGGTTTATGTGAAAGAAAATGTTCAAATGATGAGTCGGACTCTTTGCCATTTTAACCAGCTGCGTTTGGAAGTTCATAAACTCCACGAAAGAAAAGCTTTGTGGAATCTCTCAAAAGTGATTTTGTAGAGAAATAGTGGATCCTTTTGATGAAACCAAACGTATGTTTAAAGAAGGCTTTATGTGTGCAAAAAGTCCCTTTAAAGTTGGGCGCCGACTCATTCTCCCCAACCCAATACAATTCCATTATTGTGCTTGAGCAAAGATAGGCTAAAGATTTTGGTTTTAAGATTTGAGCAACAGTTAGTTTTCCCTTTACCTGGGGTAGGCTACTTAGGCCTACGTAGGCCAAATTTTTTGCGCAACTGGATCATTTGCGCGACTCGCCATAACTTTCTTCTAATTCGGCCAATCTTTCTTATTTTGTTTTCATTTTGTAGATCTCAATAAGTGCAACAAAATGAAACCAAAATCATAAAGATTGGCGGAATTAGAAGAAAGTTATGGCGAGTCGCGCAAACGATTCTGTTGCGGAAATTAGTCTACCCCCTTTACCTCCTTTATCAAATCCCAATCTACAAATCAATCCAATTCTCCGGTTTCTCTAAAACAAATCCATTCTATCAGAGCGTAATGAGGGTCTTTGTTAGAAAAAAAGGAAAAAAAAGAAGAGAAACGCTTTCACACATCTTGTCGAATCTGAAAAAAAGAGGGAAAAGAAAGGAGAGAATTCCCCCAATTCCCAATTAGGTTCACTCACCTCTCCTTTTCTTTTTCGGGCTCAATTTCTCTTTTCACTATTCAAACACCTAGCTATACCTTGTTTTTTTAAAATAACTTCTTATTTAGTCTTTAAAAGTTGAACAGTTATGAGAAAAAGCTTTGTCTTTGACTGATTCAATGATAAGCATATCTTTATTCAATAGTCTAGCCAAATTTTCCCAAATTTTCTTTACTTTACATATTAGGGTTCGAACCCCACATGCGACATGGTCACCCCCTTCGGATTTCCTTTCCCTTCGGGTTGAGAGGTTTTCTGGAGGGCAGTCTGGTGGTTGTGGCCCCAGTTCTTTAAAGTGACAAGCCACTCCTTCATCGTCATCTTCCCTTCACCACCAAAAAAGCTATTTAGTTCCCCATTGAGCTTAGGGTTAGGGAGCCGTCTGTCATGACGTGGGTTAAGTTAAGATATAGCCTAGTATTGTGATTGATATATTTCGTGTATGCGATAAATTCACCACTGGTAGCCCCAGTCGGTATTTTTAATTAGCGTTATTTTCTTGATAATCTTATAAGATTTTTGTTAAAGATTTTCAGGAATAAAATTTTTAAAGCTAGCTTTTAAGATCAAACAAAAGAATCGCAAAATTCTTAAAATTTTGTAAAGATCTGATGATCTTGAATTCTAATTCTAATTAATTCAGATTCAGATAATTTGAAAAATTTGATGAACTAGTAAAGTACCAATTAGGCACAATACAATAAGGCTAACATCTCATCCAGTATTCAATACCTGTACAATTATTGCTATTCTCTCCAATTATTGCTTGACAATCAATCCAATACTAGTTTAACTTATCAAAAGTCTCAAAGAAACAAAAAACATTTTTCAGTATAGAGTTTCAGTTAAACGTTTTCATTCTTTAGTGAATTTCTGTTCTTGACACATTTCTTTGTTTCTTTATCCCAAACGGGAGCCAATATCCAGTACAATCGCTAGAACAAAGCTTATTCATTCAATTCTTTGATGATGATCTTGATGATCTTGAATCAGAGCTTGATGATCTTGAATCAGCTCTTGATGATCTTGAATCAGATCTTGATGATCTTGAATCAGATCTTGATGATCTTGAATCAGATCTTGATGATCTTGAATCAGATCTTGATGATCTTGAATCAGATCTTGATGATCTTGAATCAGATCTTGATGATCTTGAATCAGATCTTGATGATCTTGAATCAGATCTTGATGATCTGATGATGATCTTGAATTCTAATTCTAATTAATTCAGATTCAGATAATTTGAAAAATTTAATGAACTAGTAAAGTACCAATTAGGCACAATACAATCAGGCTAACATCTCAGCCATATTCAATACCAGTACGAATAAAGTATTGACTAATTATGTGAAACCTTTGATCCTCTAATCGACTCCTTATCTCTATACAATCAAAAAGAAAACAATAACTAAATAGTTTTTTTGAGAAAAAGCCTATAAGATGAGAAGAGCAACTCTATTAGTCTCAGAAAAAGCAAGAGTCACTTTGCGCTTGATTACACCGAGACTCTCTTTCTCCGCAAAAACCGGGCCCCAGGAGGGAAAACGTTTTTTGAAGAAAAGTTGCACGTGTCTAATTCAACTTTTTAAACATTTCCATAAGCATTTCCGAAGCAAATGATTAGTCGTTTGGGAATTGGCTTACTATAAAGCAGCTCAAATCTGCTAGTTGCTTGTTGTTTTTAGAAATGAACACTGATCCTTTAGTTTTATTTTTGCATTTTCAACTGCTTATACTTTTTTTTGCCAAACTCTTTACTCAATCCAATCAACTGGTATTCGATTCGATTTTGATATTCGATTCGATTTTCGTATTGATATTTTCCAGCTTTCCAGCTTTTCCAGTTGTTTTTAAGCCAGAGAAAAAGTTCAATAACTATACTTTTTAAGAGCATTGTTTAAATTCATTCAAAAAGCATAGACCAGTGTTTTTCCATTTCGAACCATGACCCTTGTCAATCTTTCAAAGCATGATTGTGTCTGCTCAGAAAAACCCTTCAGGCTTAGTAGGGATTCAGTTATGGGTGAAGGGTTCTTCCAAAAAAGGAAAAAAAACGGCAAAAATGCTGGTCGTGAGGTCTGAGGAGTGCTTAGCGGGAAGGGGTGGAGGGGAGGGGGAAAGGAGAGGAGGGGAGCCTGAGCAATGCGCGAGAATGCGAAATTGCATTTGGTGGGGACCTTCCCTTTGCCCCAATGGTTGTGTGAATGTGAGGGTGCTGAAAAGTTCACCGAAAAGACTCGTCAATGTGGGCTTCTTTTAGAAAGAGTTCATTAAGGCTCATTTTTCTCCATTTACCTTTTACTCCATTTCCGTTTAGAGTTATTTGTGTTCTTTGGAAAATACAGATTTTAAGAAGTTCTATAAAAGAAATTAGCAGTTATTTGTATAAAAGAAGTTAAAGGAAGTTAAAAGAAGTTAAAGGAAGTTAACGGAAGCTAAAGGAAGTTAAAAGAAGTTCTAGAGAAGTTAAAAGAAGTTAAAAGAAGTTAAAAGAGGTTAAAGGAAGTTAAAAGAAGTTCTAAAGAAGCTAAAGAAGTTCTAGAGAAGCTAAAAGCAGCTCTAATTCTAAGATTTAGATAAATCCCGATTTTCTTTTAACTTCTTCAAAGTTATAGTCCTGTAACTATGGCCATTGCATTACTAAACCGAATCTAAACTCAAAACTTTACCTTTTCCAAGCTATTTTCTTATTTTACTAGTGCAAAACCGATTTTTCAAGTAGGTAACGAATGTTGCCAATTCTCAAAATCTCATCTCACGTCTTAATCCAATTGGCTTCGTTAATCTGGATCCAAAACAACTTTTTCTCTCAAACCAACCTTTCAAATCACCTGTTTTCTTTTTAAAAAAAGATTTCTATAGTTTTGATTTCCAAAAGATTTCCAATAAATACCAGATTTTCAAGAGCAATTTGTCCATTAAGTTTAATCACAAATTGAACAAAGATTTCTCAAAACTTTAGAATTTGATTCGATTAAAGATCTTTGAATCCTTCTCCTTGATCTTTGAAAAGAGAATTTCGAGGTGCTTTTAGAAGAGAAACGGGGTGAAGCTGGCCGGAAGATCTCAATTGTGGCTTGCGCTTCGAGAAGGGGAAAGGAAAGGGACCTCTTCCCCTTCCTTTACTTCTTATGCCCTTTTTTTCTTGCAGCACTAAAAAGCTCGTCTTACTCTTCACAATTTGCATGATTTCATGGAAAAAGCTTAAAGTATTTTTCATAAACAAAGCTATTGTTTGGAACTTAAACGAGTTTTTGTCTTTGCTTTCATCAGTAAAACCAACCAAATTGCTTTTTTTCGTTGAACTTCCAACACCAGTTTTTTTTATTTTCTAGCATAAAATAGTTCTTAATCAATTTAGAAGAAAATTTATTCATTCAATTCTCTGATGATGATCTTGATGAGCTTGAATCAGAGCTTGATGAGCTTGGAACGAGAGCTTGATGAGCTTGAATCAGAGCTTGATGAGCTTGGATTAGAGCTTGATGAGCTTGGATCAGATCTTGATGATCTTGGATCAGATCTTGATGATCTTGAATTAGCGCTTGATGAGATTGAATGAGATCTTGATGATCTTGAATCAGATCTTGCTGAGCTTGAATCAGATCTTGATGATCTTGAATCAGATCTTGATGAGCTTGAATGAGATCATGATCTTGATGATCTGATGATGATGATCTTGAATTCTAATTCAAATTAGTTCAGATTCAGATTTAAGAAATTTAATGTACTAGTAAAGTACCAATTAGGCACAATACAATAAGGCTAACATCTCAGCCAGTATTCAATACCTGTACAATTATTGCTATTCTCTCCAATTATTGCTTGACAATCAATCCAATACTAGTTTAACTTATCAAAAAGTCTCAAAAAACCAAAAAACATTTTTCAGTATAGATTTTCATTTAAATGTTTTCATTCTTTAGTGAATTTCTGTTCTTGACACATTTCTTTGTTTCTTTATGCCAAACGGGAGCCAATATCCAGTTACAATCGCTTCAAAAGAGGAAAAGTCTTTCTTTTTCAAGCGGTTCTTTTCTGAAAGTCGGATGTGGACACAGAAAATTCATTTAATTAATTCCAACGAGCCTTTTCTGTTGTAAAGGAAAGGGTTTGAACTGGAAAATGTCACTTGAATGAGACTCATTTCAGAATGGAAACGTTTAGAGATCTATAGCAAGAGTTTTAGCTCAAGTTTAGCTATTAGTATTAGCTTAATAGCCAAAAAGCTTAACAGCTTAATTACTTGCTAAACCTTTTCAAATCAGAAGAAAAATCTTTCCTTTGTCAAGGGTTTTTAGAAGCTAATGATTTCTAAAAGTTTTCGAGATTTCTAAGATTTCTAGAAGTTAAGGTTTTCCTTGAGGTTTTGTAGTCTAAACACTGATAGAACAAGTCATTTTTATCTTCTTTTAACTTCTTAAAAGTTATAGTACTATAACTATGACAATTGCATTACTAAACCGAGTCTAAACTCAAAACTTTACCTTTTACAAGCTTTTACAACATTTTACAAGCTTTTACAACATTTTACAACACTTTACAAGCTTTTATAAGCTTTTACAAGCTTTTACAACATTTTACAAGCTTCTACAACATTTTACAAGCTTTTACAAGCTTTTATAAGCTATTACAAGCTTTTACAACATTTTACAAGCTTTTATAAGCTTTTATAAGCTTTTACAAGCTTTTACAAGCTTTTACAACACTTTTACAAGCTTTTACAAGCTTTTACAACATTTTACAACACTTTACAAGCTTTTATAAGCTTTTACAAGCTTTTACAACATTTTACAAAGCTAATTTTCCGTATTCAATTTCGATTTCATCTTTGCTTTGTGGTCTTTTTTTGCAAATTTCAATACTTTCCCTTTTCTTTAGCGCAAAATCAATTGAATTAGAGAGTATGGAGAGTGAAATCTTTCAAAAAAAGAGAAAAAAAGAATGCTTAGATATTCCGTTGTTGGGATTTCCCCTCTTCACATTCAGCCTTTACTCTAACTTTATAGATTTCTTTTCTTTAACTTAAACTATTCCATTTTCAGCGCTCAAAGCGGCTGGCCTTTCGGCCACAATGCTCACAAGGAGAAAGAGCAGTGGAGAGCCAACAAATGGAGCACAATCGTCACAGGTTTCTTTAAAGGAATTGTAATTCTTTAAATGAATTGTAATTCTTTAAAGAAACTGTAATTTTTTAAAAGAACTGTATTTTGTAAAACATTTAAACAATCTTATATGCGAATTACTGTGTCTCAATTTTAGAGTGGCTCAAGAACGGCTAAAAAAGCTCGCGAAAGTGTGATCGCTTTGCAAGAGATTATAAACTTAGAGCCAAGTGCAATCAACAAAAGAACTGGTAACGTAGCAATTCATTCTCTACTTGTTTCCTTTTAGATATTCTGCAAAATGATCTCCTAAAAGAGCTTGTCAAGTTGGCTTGTATTATTTCGATGATTTCTGTTTGTCTAAACACCCCGCAAACTCTCACATTATGGAGTCCACTGAATTGGGTGCTTTTTGTGAGCGATTGCCTTGTAACATTGATCTTCACTTTTGAAGCCGGAGTTCACATTCATCAGCACGGCCTCGTTGATGTGAGTTTAGTTTTTAAATAGGATTTTAGTTCTAAAATTTTCTTTTGTTCCGATTATGAATGAAATTTTTTTGACGAACCTTTCTAGGAGAGTAATTCTTTAATTTATGAGAATAATATTATATAATTTTGTAGTGAATTCAATTCTGCATCGATTGGTACCAAATTTATATTGGACAGCTGGACACCAAGAGATTTGAGCTCAAAGTTAGATTGTCAATGGGAAAATGGGCATCAAGTGTCCCACAATCACTAAGAGATCAAGATATTTAATAATAGATAAATAAGCTACTGCACCTATATATAATAAGCCATCCTGTAATTTGTCAATAATCTAGCTATCGATTTATTTGTCATTTTATCCGCTCCTGTATACCGGAACTTGAGACTTTTATCCGGCTTTTTCAGTTCGGATCTGTTTTGAAGCAGTTAATCGAATAAATTCTTTAAAATCAGTCAAATATCAAAAATATCAAGCCCTTCCTCTTCTTTAAACTATTATTTTCAAAGAAACAATTTCAGAACGCTCGATCTTATCTATGTGATCGATGGTGTCGTTTTGATCTCTTCATGTTGCTCATGCACTATTTGTCGATCTCTGTGCACGGTTTTCAAATGATTACATTGAATTTTCCATTGGCTGGCCTCAAGGTAAAGATTGAATATCTACGAAGATTGATATCTACCAAGATTTTGAAATTATGAACACTTTCCAGTACGCTCCTTGGTATGGTGTTGTCCGTTCTCCGCGTCCATTCATCATGGTCCGTTTCATTCGATCCATTGTACGATTCAAGTTGCCAAAAAATCGAATTCAACAAATTATCAAGTAGATTTTCATTCACGAAATAGAAAAAAAAGAAATCTAGACGTTCCTCTCAACAAATCAAAAATGTGACGACTTTCTTCTTGTTTTTTATGGCTCTTTACGCTATTATGGGAGTTCAGCTCTTTGGTGAGTTATACATATGGCGTAGAAGGTGTAGAGTTAGGTGTAGAGTTATACATAAGGTGTAGAGTTATACATATGGTGTAGAAGGTGTAGAGTTAGGTGTAGAGTCATACATAAGGTGTAGAGTTATACATATGGTGTAGAAGGTGTAGAGTTAGGTGTAGAGTTATACATATGGTGTAGAAGGTGTAGAGTTAGGTGTAGAGTTTTACATAAGGTGTAGAGTTATACATATGGTGTAGAAGGTGTAGAGTTAGGTGTAGAGTCATACATAAGGTGTAGAGTTATACATATGGTGTAGAAGGTGTAGAGTTAGGTGTAGAGTTATACATATGGTGTAGAAGGTGTAGAGTTAGGTGTAGAGTCATACATAAGGTGTAGAGTTATACATATATTGTATATGGTGTAGAAGGTGTAATTGATCTAAAATAACAGGTTTTGACCTAGATTTGACAACCTTTTTAACTAAAATCTTCTTAAAAATGTTCTTTTACAACTTTTCATTTTAGGTCGTATGGATTATCATTGTGTTCTCCCGGGGACTGATCCAAAAAATGTGACTATTTGGGATCTAGCGATACCCGACACAATGTGCTCACAAAAGGGTGGAGGTAAATTAGAGGAAAAGTCTTATTTTACAACTTATTTATTATAAAATGAGCTTATTTGGCTTATTTGTAGGCGGTTATGAGTGTCCGGAGAATATGGAGTGTATGAAATTGGATATGTCCGCTCATGCAGAAGGCTTTTACGGGATGTTCAACGATTTTGGTGAGCAGACGGGGAAAAGAAACATATAAATCCTTTGATTGGGATATTTTGGAAAATAAAAAGCTTTAAGCTTTAATTTAGATAAAAAGAACGTTTGATAAAAATTGAATAAAAGAAAGAATTGCCAAAAAAAACAAAATGAAAAATAAATTCTTATAAAGTTTACAAGATTTTTGAAGTCTTTCAAGGATATTTCTAAGTTTGAGCTTGTTTATACATAAAATTACGATTTTTATAACAATTTATGATCAAGAATAAGCGGATTCTCTCTAATAGTAGTGCATCCTGAGCGTCGCCTAAATTCCTCGAAATCTCGAAAAGCGCTTATCAGAACCTATCGATGTGGGGTCGGAAAATGTAGCTGACGATGAGATCTTGCAGAGGACTAGAGTATTGAGCTTCTGCAAAAGCTTGGAAACCTTAAAATAGGCATAAACTCGGCTTGGCGGCTCTGCACTACCATTAGAGAGAATACGGTAAGCTATTTCTAATCCACAAACGTAATTCCAATCATTAACTTGACTGTGTACATATTGTAGAGCGTTCAATATACCGTATTCTCTCTAATAGTAGTGCACCATGAGCGTTGCCTAAATTCCTCGAAATCTCGAAAAGCGCTTATCAGAACCGATTGATGTGGGGTCGAAAAATGTAGCTGACGATGAGATCTTGCAGAGGATTAGAGTATTGAGCTTCTGTGAAAACTTGGAAACCGTAAAATAGGCATTAACTCGGCTCGGCGGCTCTGCACTACTATTAGAGAGAATATGGTAAGCGGATTCTAATCAACAAACGTAATTCCAGTCAAATTCGGTCAATCCGAGTCAAAAAGCATCTTATCAAAAGTCATAAATTGTTTTTAAAATCTCAAAAGTTGTCATAAATCAAGTTTTTATAGCTGCAAGATCTTTTTCTATTATTGTTAAACAAAATTATTTTTTAAAACTATAATTCACATCTAAAAATAAGCTTGAATCTAAAGAAATTTCGAAAGACTTCAAAAAGTTGGAGAAAAATAAGTTAAAATAGAATTGCTAAGGATAAAATGTTAAAGATAAAGCTAAAATGGTAAAGATAATAATAAAAAAGTTAAAGATAACGATAAAATGCTAAAATAACGTTAAAATGCTAAATCTAAAGCTAAAATGTTAAAGATAAAGCTAAAATTCAAAAGATAACGATAAAATGCTAAAGATAAAATATCTAGAATAAGTAAAATACTATATCAGATAAATTAGATAAGTCATTTAAATAGCGACTTTGTCCAGTAGCTTTTCTCAGCCATTCAATCTCAAAAAGCCTCTCTCTGAGGTCAAAATAAAGGAGATTTCCCCAAAAGAAAACTATTTAAACTAAAAATTTCGATTATTAAAATGTAAATGCCTTGAATTTAGCCTCTTCTCTCTTCACCGTTTATATGGCAGCCTCACAAGAGGGATGGGTTTACGTATTGTATGACTGTCTCGACACTCTCCCCAGTTACGTAGCTTTCTTCTATTTTGTCACTCTCATCTTCTTCCTTGCTTGGCTTGTCAAGGTTTGTCAAAGAAAATTTATAAATAGTTTTATAAAACAACTTAAATACACTCCAAACTACTCCAAAATAACTCCTTGATACTCAAAATTAACCGTCTCTCTTTGCTAAAAGGGGCGATTTCTTTCCCCCTCCAACAATCCTTTATGGCCGAGTGGTGCAGAGCCTTGTCTCTCACTCACTAGGCCCTGGTTCAATCCCCGCCTGTGATGAGAAAAACATGCACCACGCCGAAGTATAGTGTGGATAAAAATGTTACACCGATTTAAGCAGAGGCTGATTTTTTCTTTTTATAAAAAAATCATTGTAATAGATAAATGATGAAAAATCAGTAGCAGGATGGAAATTTTGGGATCTAGAGCTATCTAGAGATCAGCTAGAGCTAGAGATCTAGAGCTAGAGATCTAGAGCTAGAGCTAGAAATCTAGAGCTAGAGATAGAGATCTAGAGATCAGCTAGAGCCAGAGCTAGAGATCTAGAGCTAGAGCTAGAGATCTAGAGCTATCTAGAGATCTAGAGATCACCTAGAGCTAGAGCTAGATGAAAACATCAAGAGATAATGCTTAAAAACTTTTCAAAATTATCTAGAATGTTTTCATTGCCGTTATTACGGAGACTTTCGCCGAGATTCGTGTGCAATTCAGTGAAATGTGGCAGAGTCGAGATGTCACAGTAGAAGACACATATACACAGGTAAAAATGTTTAAGAAACAATTGTTTTATTGAGTTTTTAGGCCCTCTAGATACATTTGAATATATCTTTAAAGTTTAAGTTTGAAAAACGAACATAAAAAGACGTAAAATGAAAGCCTGACTTCTGGAGGTAAGAACAGCAGAATTTAGTTGTCATTTAGTTGTAAATTCATTGAAATTCATGTCATTTTTCAATCAGATCCTGACCAACTTTCTGATAAAGAGCAACTCTGCAAAATAATTCGATAAATGATGATTAAGTTTATGCAAATTTTTCGGTAGATTGCAAATGATGTAGAGTTTTTTTTGTTTTTTAAATCCAAACTTTTTCGACCCAAATTTACCGATCTCGATCTCGATCTCAAAATCTCTGTACAATTTTAGAAGCTTGAAAGAGGAGCTGATGGATGGCAACTTGTTGAAGTTGATCAATACGCGAGGACCGGGAACACCCCAGAACTTTTGCATACAGTGAGAAGTTTTGAAAGATATTAGAACTCAAGAACTAGATCGATGATTGAACTAGATCCTAGTTTAGAATTGGAATCAATTTCTGATATCAATACTAGCTTCCAGATCGTCACCTCCACTCCTTTCCAAATCGGTGCCATGGGCTTAGTGTTGATCAACGCGTTGATCAATGCCTCTTTTGTCTACTACCATGATGAATCTGATGTGATCCGAAAAGAGATCTACTATTATATAGAAGTAAATAGTATCATCATTTATCCAACAATTGCCTTTAGATCTTTTTCACGGCAATTTTTAATCTCGAGTTAGCGCTGAAAATCTTTGGCTATGGATGGAGTGCTTTTATTCGAAGAGGACAGCATAAATTCGAGATAATTCTCTGCATTGGATCGACTTTAAATTGCATAAAATATCTCTATCAAACAAATGTTTTTACATATTTTCAAGTAAGAATTTTGAATAAACTAAAATAGCTAAATTTACTTTATTAATTTAGGTATTTCGTGTAGTCCGTCTCATCAAAGCTTCGCCAATGCTTGAAGATTTTGTTTATAAGGTTTGTTGTTGGTTAAGTTCTAATATTGGGTTGGTGAATTGAAAACTGCCGGCCTTTGAACTAAAATTTATTCAACATAAAACCATCAATTCATTTCAAATAACTTCCATTATCATTGCCGACTTCTGCCCATTTTACAGGCAATTTGCGGATTCCTCTTTCGTAGTAGGATTTTAGTTTTGAATCGAAAAACTTTCCAAGCCAATTTTTGACTGCTTCTTCCGAATCGAAGCAAGCTCATTACTCATTACTGATCCGGAATAAATAGTAATCAAAAGGGGCGAGGTCCGGACTGTATGGGGAATGCGCCAAAAGTCCCCAAACAAGGCTATTTATTTTAGAGCGAGTCAGTTTTGCAACATGAGGGCGTTGTCGTGGAGGAGAACGATCTTTGACTTGGAGTTTGGTTTGTGTGTCAGACAAGTGTGAGACTCAAAAATGGAGGACTGGAGAAAATGGATGTCCCAGTTTGAGCACTTTCTTCAAAAGAAATCCATTTTGGTGTCAATAGAAAAGTTGTAGAGAATCAAAAATTAGGCTTATAGCCAAATTTCCAAAAAGATACACTTAGTAGTTTCGCTTAAAATGCAAGTTTTGTGAAAATTTCGTAAATTTGGCATTTCTTGAAAACCAGTTTTTGAATCGTTCTGAAAATTTGGATATAAGCTTGATTTTTGATTCTCTACAACTTTTCCATTGACACCAAAATGGGTTTCTTTTGAAGAAAGTGCTCAAACTGTCATATATGACAATAGGCGGCAGTTTTCAATTCATCAACCCAATGATTACTCTTTATATTATCAATTCTGTTTCTCAATCTCAGTTTATAAAATAAATTCTCAGATTTTTGGTCCTGGAAAGAAATTGGGTGGTTTGGTAATTTTTACAATGGTTCTTTTGGTGATCACCTCCGGCATTTCGCTTCAACTTTTCTGTTATGTTCCAAAATTGAACAAATTTATCACATTTCCACAGGTAGATCTCTGAATTTTCTCTGAATCTGTTTAAATCTGTTTTTATTTATTTAGGCCTTTATGACAATGTTTCAAATCATTACGCAAGAAGGGTGGACGGATTTGGTTGTCGAGATTTTGAGAACCACAAATGAGACAATGGTTCCATTTGTTGCCATTTATTTTGTCGGTTATCATTTGTTAGTGACACTGGTGAGTTAAAAGTGTCATTGAAAGTGTTAGCTTCAATTTTGACCTCGATTCTTTTTGAATTTTAGATTGTGCTTTCACTTTTTGTTGCCGTCATTCTTGACAACTTGGAAATGGATGAAGAGCTGAAAAAAGTGAAGCAATTAAAAGTTAGAGAAGAGGTTTGAAAAGTCTATAGGTTTTTCTAGAAGATTCTTTTCAGAACTCTATGAGAACAACTCTTCCATGGCGTCTTCGAGTTTTCGATCGTTTCCCGACAAGGCCACAAATGGTTTCTCTAAAAAGGGTAAATATTGGCTTGGTGAATTGAAAACTGCAGGCTATTGTCATCGGTGACAGTTTGAGCACTTTCTTCAAAAGAAACCTATTTTGGTGTCAATGGAAAAGTTGTAGAGAATCAAAAATTAAGCTTATATCCAAATTTTCAGAACGATTCAAAAACTGGTTTTCAAGAAATGCCAAATTTACGAAACCTTCACAAAACTTGCATTTTAAGCGAAACTATTAAGTGTATCTTTTTGGAAATTTGGCTATAAGCCTAATTTTTGATTCTCTACGACTTTTCTATTGACACCAAAATGGGTTTTTTTTTTGAAGAAAGTGCTCAAACTGGGACATCTCCAGTCCTCCATTTTTGAGTCTTACACTTGTCTCACACACAAACCAAAATCCTACTACGAAAGAGGAATCCGTAAATTGCCTGTAAAATGGGCAGAAGTCGTCAATAATAATGGAAGTTATTTAAAATGAATTGATGGTTTTATGTTGAATAAATTTTAGTTCAAAGTCCGGCAGTTTTCAATTCACCACCCTAATAACTTAAAAAATCTCGATATTATATCAGCAAAACGAAAATGATAAAAAAAAAAGATTCGAAAATATGTGTTTCAGATGAATGGAGAGTTTCCATTACCAAAAATTCGGCACTCTTTCACAAGACAGTTCGCTGAAGAGATCGAAGACTCAGCGGTGACTTTGGAGGGTGAAGGTTGGCAAAGATATTAATGTAGTTGGCTTAATGGAATCTGAGAGATTTCTTTCGAATTTCAATCAATAATCTTTAATTCTTGAATTATTAATTAAGATTCGATTAACTTAGCTATTCTAATAAGTGAATTTAATATTCTAACAGTTTCTGAAAGTCTTATTCGGCTATTCTTTCTTTCATTGAGCTCACTTCGAAAACAGGGGAGTGGGACAAATGCGACCTTTTTTTGCGCACCCGGACATTTGCGCACCTTTTTTTCTGCACCTTGCCCATTAGCGCACCTTTTTTCGCGTTTTAAGAAAGCTCTAAAAAGCTAATATTAACCAATTTCTATTCCAAAAGTTGTTTTTCTAGGTAATTTTAGGGCGTCGAATTCAAATTTTGACATAACAGAGCGTGTGGAACCAATTTGAAAGACAAAACATTGCAGAAAATCAAATTACAGAAAATTGTCGATTTTTCTCTTTGTATAACTCCGTCCGTTTGTTTCCACAAGCTCTGATATGTCAAAATTCCGATTCTACGCCCTAAAATTACCTAGAAAAACAACTTTTGGAATAGAAATTCGTTAATATTAGCTTTTTTAAAACGCGAAAAAAGGTGCGCTAATGGGCTAAGTGCGGAAAAAAAGGTGCGCAAATGTCCGGGTGCACAAAAAAAGGTTGCATTTGTCCCACTCCCAAAAACAGTTCTCAAAATTAGAGCTTCAAGTGGTTACAATGCTGAACGTATTTGTTAGAGTTCTTGAATCATGCTAGCTAATTTGAAGAGAATTGTGAAACAATTAAACTAGCGTAGCTGAGAAAACGAAGGTTTTGAGTTCCCGATGAGTCCAGAAATTGTTGAAAAATTTATATAAACAAATTTATGCCAAAAATTAATCCCAAAGATTGAATTATTATTTGTACTAGCGATCTTGAAATGTCTTTAGTAGACATGTCCATTTTGGCGACCGGGTCGGGTCAGCGGATCACCCGGGAAAAAAGCCAGGTCACGGGTCGGGTCAGCGGTAACAGCTGACCCGACCCGCCCCGACCCGATCCGATCCGATCCGACCCGACCCGACCCGACCCGATGCCCATGTCTAGTCTTTAGACGGTCAAGAGTCTGAGGATTGCTCGAAGAGACTCCTTTCTCCAACAGTTGCCCTTCCAAAGCATCATCGCCTTCGCCTTCGTCACATTGGTCGACTTTCTGAGCGAAACATTGTCAACAGAATACTAGAGTGGGTTTCCTATACTTAAACAGTGATCAACTATCCAAAGTTCAATTTTTAGTTGTACCTAGAAGATAATAATCATTTCTTCCAATAGCTTTCAAAACTATTAGATACAATTGTACATTTGTAAACGAAATTTGATTAAAAACTAGTATAATTTGATGAGTTTCTACTTTGGATAGTGATACTCAATGATCTGAATTGAGCGCTTGTTGTAAATAGTATTTTTTTTCTCACACAAATTGCCGCGTGAATAGCCCCAATGCACATTCAATCAATATCTCGTTTCCCAATGTTGTTTAAATAGAAAAAAACAAAATGCTAAGCAAAAATTTTGCAGAGATGAGCTAGTCATTCATTCAGCTTTCTTTTCTGGGTTATTTTTTGGTGTGGGATAAATGGTGGGCTGGTCAGCTTTTCAGTTCATCGAATCGGAGCCGTGCTCTCCTTTCTGATTCGACACTCCTCGTCGCGCATCTTTCGAGAGCATCGACACTCAAGGCGAAACACATCGCCTCGCAGTGAGTAGATGAGAGAGATCTATAAATGAATTGTTAGTTATAAGGGTGTGGCTGATAAACTAATAATAAAATAATAATAGCCTTTCAAATCAAGAAAATTCATATTTTGAAATGATTTTAATATAATGATTTAACAAAATTCTATAGTTAATTATGCTAATTAATCTTTGACTTTTAGTTCATTGAATTTTAAGTGATTTTCTCTTGTTTTGAAGATGGTTTTTAATAGGTTTAAGCTAGAAGAAATGAAGATAAAATATTAGGTTGATGCATAAGTCTTTTCGTTCCTTTTCGTCTGCCGTTTCAAGCCAACAAATGCACCAATTAAACTACGGTTGATTTCATTAGAAAAACCAATTATTTTTCTGCAAAATAACATTAAAACGGGTTTAAAAATATTTAATGCCTGGATTTTCTTGAGAGTATGAAGTCGGGTAGTCAAAAAGGGCTAACTCGATGATGCGGTTTAGACACCTTAGCTAAAGAAAACCTATCTTCGTGTCAATAGATAAAAGATAGAGAAAAAAAAGTTTGATATTTCGTCAAAATTTCAGAGAAATTCATTCAGCCAATTTTTCCGTAGAGTTTTTTATAGATTTTTACGAAAAAGGCGTTTTTCACTCTCGAATTTGCTTGAAAGTGAACCGAAATTCATTTAAAAAGATGCAAATTGAACAAAAAAACACTTTTTTTATAGAGCAAACTATAGATTAATTGGTGAATTTGTTACTTTTTAACAGAAGTACGAAAAAACGAAAAGACTTATGCATCAACCTATTAAATAAAGTCATTTAGACTATTTACCCCTTTACCAAAATAGAGATATGCAGAGAAAAATTACGTTTATTCTTTTTTCCCATTGACGCGGCAAAGATACCGAAATAATGATATTCTTGATAATTTGACGTTTCTTGTTTACTTTATACTCAAATGAAAGCTTATCTTTTGGCGCAAGCAATCAGGGTTATCCCGGGCCAGTTAGATCAGGCAATGCCAAAGAAATCAGACTCTGACATGGCTTCTGGCCTTGTCTGGCTTGGCTTAACCTTGCCTTACTGCAGGCTTAACCTGGGTTTACCGGATCTTGACCCGCCAGAAGCTGGACCTGGATCTAGTTTCTAGACGGCTTTGACCTTGCTTTGCCTGCGCTGGCATAACTCAAAATACCATGGCCAGGAATATCCTTGCATTCAACTTGTCATTTTTGCATCAGAAAGAATTTGTCTCTATTTTGACTGCTAGTAAAACACTAAGCATATGTCAGAACTTGTTAACACCGATAGTTTCTAACCTAGTGGTTTCAAATTGGCAAGTGTGACGTTGAAAAATTTCTCAAAACAATGAACCAATGTAGTTGTTGACGAAATGTCTAAAACTAGTAGTCAAAATCTTATAAAGTTACCTAATCTTTTAGTTAATTAGTACCAATGCTTATAAAGTTACCTAACTTGTAGTTAATTAGTACCAAAGCTTATAAAGTTACCTAAGCTTGTGATTAATGAATAAAAAATCTTATAAAGTTACGTAATCTTGTGGTTAATTAGTACCAAAGCATATAAAGTTACCTAATCTTGTAGTTAAATAGTACAAAATCTTATGAAGTTACCTAATCTTTTAGTTAATTAGTACCAATGCTTATAAAGTTACCTAATCTTTTAGTTAATTAGTATCAAATCTTATAAAGTTAAACCCAAGTCCAAGTCCAGTTCAGCCACACCCTTTTACCCTCAAAAGCGCTCGTTTTTTTTTGCTCCTTTGTGTGCTTGCTTTTCACCATTCCTCCCCCCTCATTGTTGCCCTAATTTCAGCTTTTTCTTTAGCACTCCTCTACTAGATTTCTTCCTTCGCCTCAACTGATCTGGCTTCTAACCCCCAGTGTGTCTCACCCCAAATGTTTCCAAAGAAATTTTTTGAATGTTTTTTTTTTGTGTTTTATTTCAAAAGATGGCCTATGGCTTTCTTTCGTTTGCGGTGGTGATTGTGGAAAGGAAAAGAGAATGATAGAGTGTTTAGGAGAACGAGGAATCGAGGATTAGCGGCATCGGTGAAAGGGAAATTGCATCTGATGGAATCGATGAAAGAGAATGGGGATATTCGACCAACTGATCAGGTGGAAACTTTAATATTTATATTTCAATGAATTTATTATTTTTCATTACTGTTTAGGCTCCTCAAAAGGATCAAAAGCAAGGAGAAATCGATATAAAAGCACTTCAACAAAAACGAGCTCATGCTGAAATCACAAGGTTTACAAATTGGTTTTCAGGTGTAAATAATCCAAAATATTCTAAATGATTGCAGTTTTTTTTAAGTTTTAAATTGAAATTTCAAAAAATATGATTAAATATTGGTTTGTCCAGTCATGAATGCGCGTTTTTTACTATTTTGTAAATTTCTCAAGATACCGAAATCAAGAAAAAGATATATATGAGTATTATTCGAAAGCTGAAGATCTCCTCTACATTTTGATATAAAAAGTTTTTGAATTTGTTCAGCTTTTGGGCAAATTGACTGCACAAAAGGAGAGGTGGCCAAAAAATGGACGGGTGCCTTTGGATCAAGTTTTGGCTCCGCTCAAATTGAGTTAACCGTTTGATGTTTGGCCAATAGATATATCAATACAACTTTTTTTTAAATATAACAACTTCAGAGCATCTTTACTTTTCTTTTCTTTTCTGGGCGGTTATTTTACAGCATAAAACTTGAGGAATAGCTAAGCTGGAATGAATTTTTTCGAAAACGACCTCTCCCTTTGTGCAGTCAATTTGCCCCAAAAGCTGAACAAATTCCAAAGGCTTTTATATCAAAATGTAGAGGAGATCTTCAGCTTTCAAATGATATATAACACTCATATACATCTGTTTGATATCTTGAGAAATTTACAAAATAGTAAAAACGCGAATTTATAACTGGACAACCCAATAGTTTCTTTAAAAGTATTCTAATTTCTTGAAAAGTATTCGAATTACTTTAAAAGTATTCTATTTACTTTAAAAGTATTCTAGTTTCTTTAAAAGTTTAATTTCAGAGCATCTTTACTTTTCTGGGCGGTTATTTTACAGCATAAAACTTGAGGAATAGCTAAGCTGGAATGAATTTTTTTCGAAAACGACCTCTCCCTTTGTGCAGTCAATTTGCCCAAAAACTGAACAAATTCCAAAGGCTTTTATATCAAAAAGTAGAGGCGATCTTCAGCTTTCGAATGATATATAACACTCATATACATCTGTTCGATATCTTGAGAAATTTACAAAATAGTAAAAACGCGAATTCATAACTGGACAACCCAATATTTTTCAATGCACTTTCAGGAATCGAATCGAGGAAGAAATGAGAGAGAATCATCCATTTTTCGATCGTCCTCTTTTCTGTATGGGTAGAGATTCAAGATTCAGGTGAATGAAGAATGTAACGATCACAAAATCTACCTAAAAAAATAAACAAACTTTATAATCTAATCGATTGTAAATGAATATTTTAGAAGGATTTGCCAGAAAATCGTTTACGCTCAATACAATCCGGAGAAAATCGATCCAATCACCGGGAAACAGATTCAGCTTAAATACAAGCAATTGCAGTAAGTAAAGCAAGAATTAGAACAATGGATATCAAACTAGAAAGTATAAAGACATCGTAATCACTACAGTAAGAGAGTAAAAAGTAATTAGTTAATAGGAGTTCTTGTATCTTATAGTTTCTTCTTTCACTCAAATCTTTGAAAGATCAATCTTATCAACTGATTTACTTCTGAATGAGATAAAGATCTAAATCATATACCGTATTCTCTCTAATAGTAGTGCACCATGAGCGGGATATTTAGGAAAATAAAAAGCTTTAAGCTTTAAGTTAGATAAAAAATCATTCGATAAAAGTTGAATAAAAGAAAGAAAATGAAAAATAAGTTCTTATAAAGTTCACAAGATTTTTGAAGTCTTTCAAGGATATTTATAAGTTTGAGCTTATTTATAGATAAAATTACGATTTTTATAACAATTTATGATCAAGAATAAGCGGATTCTCTCTAATAGTAGTGCATCCTGAGCGTCGCCTAAATTCCTCGAAATCTCGAAAAGCGCTTATCAGAACCTATCGATGTGGGGTCGGAAAATGTAGCTGACGATGAGATCTTGCAGAGGACTTGAGTATTGAGCTTCTGCAAAAGCTTGGAAACCGTAAAATAGGCATAAACTCGGCTTGGCGGCTCTGCACTACCATTAGAGAGAATACGGTAAGCTATTTCTAATCCACAAACGTAATTCCAGTCATTAACTTGACTGTGTACATATTGTAGAGCGTTCAATATACCGTATTCTCTCTAATAGTAGTGCATCCTGAGCGTCGCCTAAATTCCTCGAAATCTCGAAAACCGCTTATCAGAACCTATCGATGTGGGGTCGGAAAATGTAGCTGACGATGAGATCTTTCAGGGGATTAGAGTGTTGAGCTTCTGCAAAAGCTTGAAAACCGTAAAATAGTCATCAACTTGGCTCGGCGGCTCTGCACTACTATTAGAGAGAATACGGTATTGTAAATACTCTAATAGATACTCTAATAGAAAGTTTTATCTTTATTGGTCAAAATATGGCTGAGAAAATGCCCGTATAGACGGGCGCCCCTCGTACAGTTGCGTAGTCTAACTATTTTTTAGAAAATCATCTTTCTTAGCTCCTAGTTTTTCCCAACCACTTTTGGTAGCAAAAAATAGATTTCAAGGGCTATCATTTGATGCCCAAGTGAAAACTGTCGCTTAAAGCAGTACAGGACGTTCAAAGTAACTACGTGACTGTACGCTTGTCATTATGGGTTCTAGTACGGTAATATTCAGCGCTTTCTTTGGCTTGATGACCTATTTGGATTGGGCAATGGTGATCGTGACATCAGTCTCCTGTTGGTCAATGTTATTTGAGGGACCCTGGCCGACAACTGGCGAGAATCTCATCTTCAATAATCCTTATCTACAAGTGAGAACGTTCTCTAAACCTTGAATTATAAGAATAATAATAAGAATAATCATAAGATCTATTTTCAGATAACTGAATATCTTTTCGTTCTTTCAATGACTTTTGAACTTGTCGTGAAAGTTCTTGCAAATGGGCTCTTTTTCACGCCAAAAGCTGTCATTAAAGATGTTGGCGGAGTGATGACGTTCTTCATTTACATTGTAAAAATAAAATAAATAAAAAATGAGAAGAAATCTTTAGACAAGTTTGATTTACTTGATTTGGATGCCGAATCACGTTGAGATAAACTCATTGGCTCAATTGTTGATGATCTTTCGAGCAATGCGGCCATTGAGAATTTATACACTTGTGCCACATATTCGACGAGTTGTAGTCGAATTGTGCAAAGGATTTCGCGAGATTTTATTGGTTTATTTTAAACCAATAACCTTTTAAACTTTTTAAATACCGTAAACTAATCTGAATCTCAAATTTCTTTTAGGTAACAATCCTGCTGATTGTTTTGATGTTCATCTTCGCGAGTTTCGGAGTACAAATTGTTGGTGGAAAGTTGGCTGCTTGCAATGATCCAAATATTACGACAAGAGTTGGTTTTGAAATAGAAAGAGATAGAAAAGAAATAGATATAGAAATAGAAATAGCAATAGAAATAGAAATAGAAATAAATGGCAATAGAAATATTGGGTTGGTGAATTGAAAACTCCCGGCTATTGTCATATGTGATTGTCGCTTACCGGACAATTGTGCTAGCTATTACACCATAAAGCAATTGATCTCCTTTCTCCAGAGGGCGTTAACTAGATATTCATCATCAGGATTCACGACTGAATTGGTTCTATTTGGTTGATGAATTGAAAACTCCCGGCTATTGTCATATGTGACAGTTTGAGCACTTTCTTCAAAAGAAACCCATTTTGGTGTCAATGGAAAAGTTGTAGAGAATCAAAAATCAAGCTTATATCCAAATTTTCAGAACGATTCAAAAACTGGTTTTCAAGAAATGCCAAATTTACGAAACTTTCACAAAACTTGCATTTTAAGCGAAACTACTAAGTGTATCTTTTTGGAAATTTGGCTATAAGCCTAATTTTTGATTCTCTACAACTTTTCTATTGACACCAAAATGGATTTCTTTTGAAGAAAGTGCTCAAACTGGGACATCCATTTTCTCCAGTCCTCCATTTTTGAGTCTCACACTTGTCTGACACACAAACCAAAATCCAAGTCAAAGATCGTTCTCCCTCCACGACAACGCCCCTCATGTTGCAAAACTGACTCGCTCTAAAATAAATAGCCTTATTTGGGGACTTTTGGCGCATTTCCCATACAGCCGGGACCTCGCCCCTTTTGATTACTACTTATTCCGGATCAGTAATGAGTAATGAGCTTGCGGGAGAACACTTCGATTCGGAAGAAGCAGTCAAAAATTGGCTTGGAAAGCTTTTCGATTCAAAACTAAAATCCTACTACGAAAGAGGAATCCGCAAATTGCCTGTAAAATGGGCAGAAGTCCGCAATGATAATGGAAGTTATTTGAAATGAATTCATGGTTTTATGTTGAATAAATTTTAGTTCAAAGTCCGGCAATTTTCAATCCACCAACCTAATAGAAATGTGATTCTTTGTCTCTAAAATCTTAGAAAACTTTAGGACAATTGCACTGGGCTTTTCGAGCAGAAACTCTTTGTGACAAGAATGGAAGTTTTTGGGAAAAACGATGAGAATTTACATCCGAAAATTTTTGTGCCACGCGTTTGGTTAGTAATTTTTGTACTTTGAAATTTCATTCATAAGGAAAAAAATCTAAAATTTCAGGACAAATCCTCGAAATTTCAACTTTGATCACATTGGAAATGCAATGTTGGCCTTATTTGAGACACTTTCGTATAAGGGATGGAACGTGATCAGAGATATTTTGTATTTACGACAGGGAGCGGTAAATTTACTGTTAGAAATCGTCAAAATCATTTTAGTGGGCTGTTTTATTCATTCACATTTATGTGTTCATTGGTTGTATGATCGGTTTAACGCTTTTCGTCGGTGTTGTCATTGCGAATTACACGGAGAATCGGGTGAGTGATTGAATGAGAAAAGCAGCTCTAAAAATTCTATTGATAAATTTGTTTTTCATTTGTTGATGGATCACTTAAAATCTCTAGAATATCCAAAATTGTCACCCTGGATTTTCTCCTTGGCAATCTAACTTTGAGCTTAAATTTCTTGGTGTTAGGCTATTCAATTTAAATCCTCTTGGTATCATTAGATGTGCAAAGTCTTTCTCTATCGATTGATACAAAAACTATTTAAATTGAATAACCCAGCAACAAGATATTTGAGCTCAAAGTTGGATTGCCAATGGGGAAGGGGCGGGGTGACGGACCTTCCTTCCAATCTAACTTTGAGCCTAAATTTCTTGGTGTTAGGCTTTCCAATTTAAATCCTCTTGGTACCATAAGATGCGCAAAGTCTTTCTCTATCGATTGGTACAAAAACTATTTAAGTTGAATAGCCCAACACCAAGAAATTTGAGCTTAAAGTTAGATTGTCAATGGAAAAGGACCCGAATCAAATGTCCCAAAATCATACTGATTTAATCAGTTCATCTAAGATTTGTTTAAAGAATAAATGTATTTTATAGTCAACTCTAGGGCACAGCTTTGCTAACAGTGGACCAACGTCGTTGGCACGATCTGAAGGCTCGTTTGAAGATGGCTCAACCACTTCACATCCCTCCAAGGCCCGCCGAAAGCGCTCGATTGAGAAATTTTCTTTATGAGATTGCTCTTAGCAAGCCATTCAAAAATGTAAAATCAATTTTAAAACAAAAACAAAAACAACAACTTTTTAGGCTTTCGATCTTTTGGTTGTGTTGAACTCGTGTACTTTGGTTGTTCCATGGAATGTTGAAGAGGAAAAGCAACGAGCACATGTGCTTTTTGGTCTTACTTTATTTGCTGGGATCTCAAATATTCTCTTTATTATCGAGGTTTGTATTAGTAGAACGATTACCAAAGTATTTACGATTGTTAGATTTTGTTCAAAATGATCGCTTTCACTCCGTTGGGTTTTTGGCAGTCGAGGAGGAACAAGGCTGACTCAATCATTACAGCATTGGGTAAATTACAGATCTTTGGTGCTTTTGCTGTGCTTTTTGTGCTTTTTGTGCTTTTTGTGCTTTTGCCCAAAAATGTAAACATAACGTTCCTGGTGCACTTGATTTTCCCATGACAGGGCACATAATGTACGCCAGGAAATCTGTGTTTAGATTCTTTGCATAAAAGTACACTTGAAAACAAATCTAGTAAGGATCTGGCTTTAAAAAAAGCCTACAAGAGATCAAGAATGACAATGCCAATAGTAAGACTTTTATTTACGTGCGGTTTAAAGGGACTGGCACGAAAGCGGCGCGGCGCGCTTTCTAAAGCATGGATATGCTACCGTACACCTCACAAAATTACCCTTTTGCCATTCTTTTCATTTTTGGCTTTCGTGATCGTGAATATTGTCCAGCTTTTGTACCGAGTCCCGCTAAGTTTTCTCCCCCTTCGTAAAATCTATTACCGTAAATACTGTAATAGTACCCCACCGCCCTCGTACAGTCGCGTAGTCGCAAAAGTTTCAAAGTTTCCAAAAGCAAAAGCAAGTTTTTTAGTATTTCATTTTTTTTCAAAGCGCCCGTGCTTTCAAAAAATGCGTCGTTGGTATCAAAAAATAGCCCTGAATTTCAGCTATTTTGTGATACCTAAGCGCGCATTGTAGCATAAACCAGTGTCGAGAAAAACTCATTCAAAGCTAGACTACGCAACACTTCGCACCGTCATTATGGGGGTGGGGTACTATTACAGGATTTACGGTATGTTCTTATAGCGCGTTTTTAAAGTACTTCTCTCCTCTCCCCTCGTTCGTTCCCTTCTTTTTTATATTGTGGTACTTTGGTGTTTGGGAGGGGCCATTTTTATCCTGACTTAATTGGATCTAATGTTTTGAGTGGTCTAAAATGGTTTTGTTTTGTTTCTCTCGGCTCCCTTCTACTCTATTGTCTTCGAATCTTTTTGTACGCGCCGTATAAACTTAGCTTAACCAATTCTCTTTCAACTAAAACGTATAAGATCTACCAAATCAAATCGGCGCGATCTTGGGGTTTTTCTTCATGGGTTCTGTATCTAATTATTTTAGAAAAAGGATTGGTGAGGTTCAATGGTTGCTAACTCAATAACTCATCATATTTAGGCTTGTCATGGATCGTGCTTCACTTCATCTTCAAATTCCCAGCTGGTCTAGCTGGTGGTGAAGAAACGGAAACATGGTGGCGTCGCTCATCATACACATTTGGATACATTGTTGTCATCTTGCGGTTTTTCACAATAGCTGGTTTGTCGACCTTTTGAGCTTTTCAATTGTATTTTTAGCAAGAAAATCGACTCTTAAAATGTTGATGTTAACTGTTTTGATGTCAATGGTTCGATCGATGTTTATTATTGCGGCCATGTTCTTATTGGTGCTTTTCTATGCGTACACGGGAGTGATTCTCTTTGGGATGGTCAAATATGGGCAAGCTGTGAGCAAGTGAGTAGACATGGGGCACTATAAACTATAAGAATGACGAACTGTCATTCTTATTACACAAATGCTTTTAGCTTGTTTCAAATCTGCTGAATTGGTATGGTCTATGGCTTAAAAAGTAGAGAATCTTAAGAGCTTTCGAATGGACTAAAGCATACTTAAAAATATCAACAAAAATAACAGTGGTTTATAGTCTTGACTCGCACGTAATCGAAGCGATCTAGTCAGGCTACAAACCACTGTAACTTTATTTAGCATTGATATTTTTGATGTGCTTTAGTTCATTCGAAAGCTCTTGAGATTCTCTATTTTTTGAGCTATAAATCATGTTAATCCAGCAGATTTGAAGCAAGTTAGAAGCATTTGTAGGGCCCATAGCAAACAGTACATTGTAGTAAGTAATTTGTCGCAAATAGTACAATTTTAAACAAAAGTAAACCCAAGAACTGTTCCCAGGGTACCATTTCAAGTTTTTATTTTGAATTTAAAAGCTGCTGACAATAAGCACTTTAAGTACATCTTTACAAATCCGCAAATTTCAGGCATGTCAATTTCCGATCCGGTCGTGAAGCTCTAGTTGTACTTTTTCGAAGTGTCACCGGCGAAGATTGGAACGATATCATGCACGATTGCATGGTAAAAAAACTAATATTTAAATAGTTTTTGATCATTTTAGCGATCACCACCTTTCTGCTATTGGTCTGAAGGTTTAAACTATTGGCAAACCGATTGTGGGAACTATTTTGGTGCAGTTTTTTACTTCTGTTCTTTCTACTTGATCATCACTTACATTGTGCTGAATTTGCTTGTCGGTGAGTTGATAAGATTTTTACTTTCAAGAATTGATTTAGCTATCATTATGGAGAACTTTTCCTTGTTTTATTCATCTGAAGAAGATGCTTTATTGAGTTACGCAGATATCCGTAACTTCCAGCAGGTCTGGAATATGGTCGATATTGAGCAAAAGGTGGGATCGTGAAACAATGTGGCTAAGAGAGATCAAATTTAGAGATCGATTCCAGTTAGAAGGGTCAAATTCTTGTTGCGGTTGTTGAAAGGACGATTGGAGGTAAAGAAAGGGGAAATAAACTTAACAAAAACTCTGAAGTGCTTTGTAAATGCATATTCGGTTCATGTTGGGGTTGTTCTAAAGACAGTTTCTTTGAGCAAACCCGGTCAAGCCTAAAGCTAGGTCCTGGCTTGACTTCTGGTCTTGCCTGACCTTTGCCGACCTCCTTGCTTGGCTTGTCATGGAAATGGATAGTTAGCTTAATCTATAAAAACAATCGGGGTTCGATCCCCGCCTATGATGAGAAAAACATGCACAATTGCTATCGGTCGGTAACAAGAATATCATCTTGACTTTGACTTATTGAAAAGTTGGGAGTACTAAGCAAGTGTGCGTTTACCAGCGCTCAAAGTGCATGAATCTATTGTGTCACAAAATTGGTACTTGTATTCCAGTGATTATTCCAAGACGGATCAAATCATTTCCAGGTTGACCCAAACAAAGACCGACTTCTCTTCAAGCACATGTGTTACGAAATGGAGAGATTACACAATGGAGACGATATCTCGTTCCATGATGTTTTGAAGTAAAGAACTTAGAAAACGAAATCACTTTACATTTTCATTTTCAGCATGCTTTCCTATCGAAGTGTCGACATTCGAAAAAGTCTTCAACTGGAAGAATTGTTGCAACGAGAAGAATTAGAGTATATTATTGAAGAAGAAGTGGCCAAGCAGACGATCAGACATTGGCTAGAGCATTGCTTGAGGAAACTCAAGCACAAAACGAACAATGTAGAAAGGGAAATTGTTGTCTATCAATGGAAAAAACTTTAGGGCGATACACTAATGCCCACAGCTGTTCCTCTACATCGGCTCTCTTGCTTGGCTGCGAATTTGGCTCCACCAACGCCGATTCAGAACTTACAAGTATACATTTACGAGTTTCACGGGTTCTTAAGCTCATTCAAGAGTCGATATCTAACCCAATTCCACTTTTTTTCTTGGCAGATCCAGAATTTTGTCTACAGATAGCCTTGTCAGCTTATAGGCCAAATTTCAAAACTCTGCCAAGAAAGGTGAAATTTGGCTAGAAATTTCTGAGCTTGCATTTTAAAAGCTTTAGAACAAATATCGATATCGAACACAACTATTTTAGGCAGCAGCTGCCATCGCAGCTCAACAACAAAGTCAACAATCGCTTGAGATAGCGGATAGTGGTGAGAGTTTGCTGGAAGACGATCGAAGAGGAAGTCGGCGACATAAAGGACGGCGAAGAGGAAGTATTCCAGAACTTGTTGGGGTAGGAAAATAAAAGTTTAAAGAAATAAGCATTTTCAGGAAGCCAAAAAGTTCATGCTTGACAGCCTGACAAAGAGGTTTGAGAAAAGTGAGACGAAGCAAGCCGTGAAAGATCGAAGGGCGACGATGAAGCAATTTCATGTAAGCCAAAATTATTGCTTTAAGTGTGGAAAAATAACACAGATAACTTTGGTATAAATTGAAACAAAAACTTCAAATATTTGCAACATTTACGCTTTAGTTACCCACCTACGAACTTCCTGATGTGGAAGAGACTCAAGATGAAGAAGAAAGAAGACATTCTTTGGATGCGAATTTGTCTACTTCGTTCAATGGTTGGTTGAAAAATTGAATTAAATTGGATTTTCTGAATCAAAATGCTCAAAACTCAAAGCTAAAATGTTAGAATATCCCTTTGAGATTAGAATCCTTAAAATAACTGTTAGATTAACTTAATAGTGTTACAGAGATTGCCAAAGCTGTTGAGCTGGTTCATTTTATTTTAAAACGCAAAAGGTGGATCAATCCAAGAACAGCTTTTTCATTAGTTAACATTTTCAGAACTATCTCCAAAACCCTTCAATCAAACCCCATCACCGAATCATCAAGTTGTCACCGGTCCAAAGGAATCGGTTCATTCAATGGATTTCACTTCTTCTCCACTAATCGATCACAGTCCTGAGGTGTTGACGTGGTGGGATAACTTGGAAATGATAGGATTTTAGAATGCTAGATATTTTTGTGTTTTTTTTTCCTTGAAACGGTTACAACTATGGGTATTTATTAGTCATTCTTGATCTCGTTTAGTGTATAAATAAAGATTTCGAAATTTTACATTTAACAACATAAAGAAAGGAAGACAATGCCAAAGACGCAAACGAAATAATTGCTGGTAAACAACCCTATTCACAACGCTTAAACATTTATTTAATTTTTCAAAAATGAACTCTGAATCGTTGTTCAATTGCATGGACTTGAGTCAATATGTAAAGAGTCATCCAAATCATTTTTTGGATCTTTTAAGCCACAGCCAATATTACCACCTTGATCTTAAATCTTTCTAAATTATAATATAGTAGCTTTCATAGACAACAACTCTGCAAACTTGAACATTGATCTTGGATCGAAAGGGAATGAATTCCAGAAATGTATTATACATGATGTCATTCCCTGATGAACAAACAAAGTTGATATGAACGAAATGGGGTACAATATTTCGACTTTTGAAAGCTTTCAAATCGACTATAAAAGGCTACAATATTGGAGGTTACAATATAGAAGTAAGACAGGGAATTTCCTTTTCCAATCTAGTCTAATGGGTCTCTCGTTCAATTTTTTCTTTTTCTGTATTTGTGCAATTGTTGTGTGAGTTCTTTGACAGATCTTTCTTTTATTTAAGACAAAAGTTACTGTTTTTTACTTAAATCCTAGAATTCTAGAGTTAATGAAGATATTCAAGGCGAGTTTTTAAAGATAAAAGACTCAAAAACCAAACTCACAACTATCAAGACCAACTCAATGCCGTAAAAATGAAGAACTTAACGATTAACTTTAGACTAGCTCAAGTGAAAACTGGAATAGCGAATGGAGTACCATCAGTTGGAGGATTTACCACTCAACCAAAACCAACAACAGGATCTGGTCAAAAACTACCACCAGCCGTTGACAAGGGAGATATACCAACAGCAGTGAGTGGAAAAGGACAACCACCGACAACAACCACTGTCAAAGCATCACTGCCAAGTGGAAATGGAAATGGACTTGGACAACCACCACTTATTTTGGGATGATTAAAGAATAAAAAATACATTTATTTAATGTACAAACGATACACAAGCACAGCCGGTTCCCAAACATTTCGCTCACTGCAAGCTCTCACGGACCTCGCCTATGGCTGGCATGGCATGGTTGTCTAGTTTTTTTTGAATAAATTCGCTTATAATCTTGTTATTAGTATTTTGGCAATAAAGATTTGTTTTATTTGCAATTAAAATTTTTATTTGCTTTACAAAAAGAATCTCTATGAAGACAAGGGTACAAGGACACTTAAAGTCGAAAAAATACTCGTATTCTTTGCAATTCTTAAATCACAATTGTAATCTAACTACTAGAGTTCTAAATTTTACAATCTAGACTTTTCTTTCTTTTCTGGATTTGCTAGATAGGGCTCGCAAAGGGATTTGAAATCACGAAGTGCTTGACCAAGAGCTTCAGCGAATCTAAAAATGATTTGATTATGGTAAAGCTATAGCTAACTAATTTATAGCTAACTCTAGTTGAAATTAATATAATCCAAGATTTTTCTACCTTTTTGCTGATGTAGATTTATCCCTGTTAAAGGCAGAGATGGCAAAGTGGAGTTCTCGCTCTTGTGGATTGTAGCAAATCCCATAGCAGTCCGCCTCAGCTGGTCCAAAGCACATTTGGATGAAATTTTTGGTGGGAACCTGAAAGGGAAACTTTTCTATGTTTAGATTAGAATAGAAGTAGATACTAAAACACTAATGGAAATCAAAAGCTTGATATACATTATTCATTTCAACTTTTCAGAATCATGATGACACATTTAGACTGAAATGGTCTGCCATTGAAAGATCCATTCAATCACTTTCAATACCAGTTTCAGAACCGTCACTACCAGCAAAGTAGTGATATACGTCACTACCAGCAATTGTAATCTAACTACTAGAGTTCTTTGCTAGTAGAGTAGAGTTCTTTGCTAGTAGAGTAGAGCTCCTTGCTAGTAGAGTAGAGTTCTTTGCTAGTAGAGTAAAGTTCTTTGCTATTAGAGTAGCGTTCTTTGCTAGTAGCCTGAGCCTAGGCCTGAGCTGGCAAAGTACGTTATAAGTTCCGGTGGAATTTCAAGTTCAATGTAATGTTCAATGAAAAACTTTGTACGGTTGCTGATCTTCATCTCTAATTTAATCTTTTCTACCTGGCTAGTGGATACTCTGAAATGCATCATCTCTTTGTAGATATCATTCTTGAAAATGCTTGGCAAGGGAAGTTCATTCTCAGCAGCCAAAAGCTTCCACGCTAACAAGTGGCGATCCATTCCTAGATCAGAATATACAAAGGACACAAAAGTTCAAAGCCACCTTGTTTTTCAGTTCTCAAATTCAGCTTTTAAGATAACAAAAAAGTATCTAATGCTAAATATTCTTATAAAAGTTTGTAATTATAGTAAGTTTATGTTAAATTTAAGGGTTTGCAAGTAAAGCCCAAGCTTAAAGAACAATATATCGCCAGAATTAACCCAAGTTCCTGATCACTCTGAATTTCTCTCAAAAAGCTAAATTCTCTGAAATTTCTAATTACCTAGTTAATCAAAAACGATTCTATTTTTTAAACTCTTTCTAAACAAATAAAAAAAACTTCAGATTTTTTAGCTGAAATGTAAAAGCTCTAAAAAGTTGACTCATAAAATCGGATTTCAAGTTTTAATTGGCTTTATAGAAAGGAAATAGAAATATAGAGCACTCTGTAAAATCGGATGCTTAGTTAAGTAATTTATTCAGTTTTTTTTGATAGTTTCCAGCATTTGTAACTAACCTTTATTGCTCATACACTCCTTGGCGAGGCTTTGATGTGATTCGGTGGCTTCTCGGAGAGCTTTGTACATATCATTGTGTGCTGCTTTCTTATTTGATAACTGGAAATCGCATTTTAGAGTTTTTTTCGAGTATATTTCTTACCATTTCACACATATCTCTTGATTTTCGATTTGGCAAGCGAATGTTTTCAGTACGTCCCTCGGAGAAGAGTCTCAACGTGGCCGTCTCATAGGTGGGTGGCACTTTGTGGTGTAATCTTTAACATTTTCATATACATTATTCATTTCAACTCTTCAGAATCATGATGACATTTAGTCTGAAAAGGTCTGGCATTGAAAGGGCTCATTCAATCACTTTCAATACCAGTTTCAGAACCGTCACTACCAGCAAAGTAGTGATATACGTGACTACCAGCGATTATAATCTAACTACTAGAGTTCTTTGCTAGTAGAGTAGAGTTTCAGAACCGTCACTACCAGACGATACCAGATTCGATCAAGAGTAGAGTTATATTGCCTAGATCTATTGCGTAGATCTATTCCCTAGATCTATTGCGTAGATCTATTCCCTAGATCTATTGCCTAGATCTATTGCCTAGATCCATTGTCTAGATCCATTGCCTAGATCTATTGCCTAGACCCATTGCCTAGATCTATTGCCTTGACCCATTGCCTAGATCTATTGCCTAGATCTATTGCCTAGATCTATTGCCTAGAAGCACTGGATCTATTGTTTGATCTGATAACTGAATCAAAACAAAATCTACGTCTATTCAAGTCTAAGTCTACTTAAAAACCACCCAACCTATAATAAGCTAATTGAAAAGCCATTTGAATGAAACTATCCGGTGAGATCTTGGCTTTCTTTGGGAAATTCTTGCCAAAATCTTTGAAAGTATACGTGCTCACTTCGAGATCATCGACAACACTGAAAATTTGGAAATACAATCTTGTAATCTTTATTATATCTTTACTTTTACCTATCCATTTCTTTAGCATTCCTTGCAATCGAGTCTTTGACCGAGTCGTCCAACTCAAATTCGAGTTTCTCGACTTTGATTGATTCGGAATCGCCATGAGATTGCCAAGATGCATCATTTCTGAAAAAGATTTATAGAAAATGTATCGATAATTGAGATTGAATAGATTTTATTTGAGACAATTGTAAACGTACACTTTATCACAAATGAAATCCATCAGCCGGGCTACAGGTGGTCCCTCGGCCGGCGTGTGCTCATAAGTCATTCCACAAAAGCCATTTTGGCCAATAATAAACTGAAAACATAATCAATTTAAGCATCACTTGCATCAGAGAATATTTAATGCTTAAACTTTGCATTACCTGAATAGTTTTGTCAAACCATCGATTCCCAGAGTTGGCTTTAGAGCCAGAGCCATGGAGAGTCTGAAAAAGTTGATTTGAAAATGATTTTTCCTTGAAAGATTCTAGAAAAATAGATTTTAGATGTTCAGCTTGTCACTTTTAAATTGTCACTAAATTTGTCTCACCGATCTAGCTTGTTCATCTTTTTCTGTATATCCAGCAAGGGGTTTTGTTGGTTGATCGATGCAAACAATGAAGAGAGCTTCTTCGATGAGTCGAAGCGATCGGGCATTGGTGATATTGCCTAGAAATTTGGTTTTGGCTTTGGAAGAACGTTTGGAAGGACAGGCTTAAAAATTGACGCTTACTCTCTAGATTCTTGTAAACTTTTGCCCATTGATCTCGCTCACCACCGCTAACAATGCCCAATTGATTGATATTTCTTGTATCAGTTACAGAAACAGCCTGAAATTTGTTGAGAAGTACAGTTTTTTTGTGCTTTATTTATTTACCGTAAATACTGTAATAGTACCCCACCCCCATAATGACGGTGGGGAGTGTTGCGTAGTCTAGCTTTGTCTAGCTTTGAACGAGTTTTTCTCGACACTGGTTTATGCTACAATGCGCGTTTGGGTATCAAAAAATAGCTGAGATTCAGGGCTATTTTTGATACCAAAGACACATTTTTTGAAAGTACGGGCGCTTTGAAAAAAATGAAATACTAAAAAACTTTTGCGACTACGTGACTGTACGAGAGGGGTGGGGTACTATTACAGTATTTACAGTATTTATACTATTTCTTCTTTAATATTTATTTCCTTTTCTTTTCCTAACCTCTCTGATTGCTTTTTGAATTGCTTGGAAATCCCGTAATGAAGTGTGTTGAGTGATCACTGGGACAACGACAGCCTAAAGTTTTTTTGTTCAAATGGCTTCGAATTTTCTTTACAGATTTACTTACATGTCCATTTCTCATCAGCACAATGTGTTTATTTGGGTTTTTGTTTTCAGTACCATAACGAATCAAATCCTGAAATGAAAGAAAAATGTGAATAAATGGTGATTACAAACGTTTCCAATTCTCGGTAGCCTTGAGGTACCAAAAAGAAATTTGTACTGAGACATATCCATATATTCTTTTCCAGCAGTATCTTGTGGAAGTAATTCTCTAGAAAAAAAATAAAAGATGATTTGATGATTTGCAAAGAGATGATTGCATGAGCTGGTTTGCTCAGGCTTAGGCTAAGCTTAGGCTAAGCATGAGCTCAAAAATTTACTTGGTGACGTCATGGTAGAACTGGAGAGCGCCCATTGTGATCGTTGTGGCATGGTGGATCTGAATCAGGGAAATGGATTTAGCTAGTTTTGTATCATAGATCAATTGTTTAAGCCTTTTTTTTACCTGAGCTTCTAGAGGATCTTTGCTTGGCGATGGCCATTGCGGGAAAAGAACCCCGGGAGAAGTGACAACTGGTAGTGGAGTTCTTGCAGCCAAATATGCCACATCTAACCACCAAGGGGTTAACTGAATAAAGATTAAAGAAAAAATTAACAGAAATTAAGTCAATTACCCAATTATTCAATTTCTCGGCTCGATTTTCTAGCAGCTTTTGCAATTTTGGCATCTCATTGTCACGAAAGTTGTTGATGATCTGAAAGAGATAGAATGAATGATTGAATTTTCAAGTTACCTGTTGCACATCTTGTTCAGCTGCTTTTTCTCGATGTTCACCAGTTCTTGTTTGTTTTGAAATGGCAAGTCCATAGTCGAAATATTTCTTTAGTGTAAGTGATGGATCAGGCGCTGGTAGCTTGGGTTGACCGATATATCGAGTTTTGCCTAAAACATGACGAAATTTTTGCAATTCTAGCTAAAATTCTGTTATTTGCTTATAAAGAAATAAGTTATAAACAAAAAGCTGAGATTTTAAAGTTTACCTAGTTAGGGAAAGAACTCAATTCATTAATCAAAAGACAAACCTTGATCAGAGGCGACCATTCTCGTTTGAACGATGGGTAGAGTTCTCAAAGACAGCTGAAAAGCCAGAGATAGATGGATTTTTGATAATTCTCTTCTAATTTATCCTCTCGAATTCTCTTTTCTCTTATCATACAAGTGATCAGTGAAAAGTGCATGAAACAAACTACATTACGGGCAGAGAGCAAAACTAAATAAAAACAGAAAAGAAAAAAAAAGAAATAGCATTAAAGATCATTGAAATTTCGGTTTATGATTAAATTACAGAGTTTGAATTGAATGAATTGAGTAGTTGGGGTGTTTTTGAAAAATAACCTGGACATTTGTTGATAGTTTTCGTAGAGCGACCATTGTTTGAGCGAACTTAAACAAAAATAAAAATAATACACGTAAAAGATAAATAAATTTGTTATTCAATGACAAAGGAAAACGTTTAGAACTTTTAAGTTATATAAAAATAACTTAAAAGTTATTTAAAGTTATTTAAAAATGACTTAAAAGTTCTATTCTTTGAACTCGGGTTGTTTGGCGGTGATGGGAGAGCCTTTTGAGTAAGAAAGAGAGTCTTTTTAAAAGAAAAAAGAACAGAGAAAACTAGATGTGTTTGAGAAAAGGGAGGAAAATATTGACAATTTGGGAGAAACTTAGAGAAAAACTCTTTTTGGTTGTCGAAAATTGAGAGAGATTTTGGAGGCCAGGAAATTACAGCTCTGAGCTCTGAGCATTTACAGCTCTGAGCAAACTATGCGAGGTGTTGGGCTACTTAAGTTGAACTAGAAAACTTAAGCACAAAATATAAAGATGAAATGTTGAAGAACATTGTGATTCTTTTAGTTTAAAATAGTTTGTGAATTGAATTGTTCAGTTTAGCATGAAATGTATGGCTTTTAAACCTCACAAAGCATCAATCGATTCTTGAGTTCAGCTGTTTCAAGGCAAAGATTCATCTTTAAAGTTGAATTTCTAAATCTACAATAATTTTATAGAAATACTATGATTTAAAATGCTTTTATTGAACAGTAAAACAATTTTTACAAATCATTGAACAAGAATTTGTTTTTAATTACCGTATTTCTTCGAATAGAAGACCGGGTAAAGAGTATCATCGCGTACTCCTGCGTAGCAGCCCTTTTTAAAATTTCTTTTCTGCATAAAAGCTTTCAATGAAGTGCTATAGGGCTGGAAAATGACTCAAAAATACCACATGAGCTAACAGATTTTTGAGCCATTTTTCAGCCCTATAGCACTTGATTGAAAGCTTTTATGCAGAAAAGAAATTTTAAAAAGGGCTGCTACGCAGGAGTACGCGATGATACTCTTTACGCGGTCTTCTATTCGAAGAAATACGGTATTCGATAAGGAGAATGAATCAATCAGAAGCTTTAGCTGAATCAATCAAAGCTCTCATTGGAGATCATTTGTTTCAAACCCTTTTACCTAAAAAGCCGTTGGGTATAATCTTTTTCCTGTTTAACTTATAATAGTTCATACTTTAACTGATGGTTGTGGCGGTGTTCCCCATGGTTCCATCAATGTCAGCTGAATGTCAGCTCAATTTTATCGAACAGTAAAACGTTTCATCTTTAAAGCTCAATTTCTTATTAAAATTAGATTAACAATACTTTTATAGAAAAGTAAAACAATTTTTACAAAACTTTGAACAAGATTTTGTTTTTAAGTTAATAGAGTAAAAGTGATCTTAAAAGTTACCAGCCTTAAATCATGTTAATACAAGGTTGAAGGAAAAGTCCTAATTCTGCAGGAAAAATTCAATTTTTATGCGCACTTTAATAACGAAAATAACAATAATTATTCCTTAAAGTATAACCCATCATTATCTACGAATTTCTGCCATCGATCTGGAAGCTTTCTTCTGCCATCGATCTGCAAGCTTTCGAATCTGGTCGAAGTCTCACTCCTTCGATTTCAAATCAAAGAACTTCAGCTGGCAAATCTTTTAGAGCTTTTTTAAAACGCCAAAAAAGGTGCGCTAATGGGCAAGGTGCGGAAAAAAAGGTCGCATTTGTCCCACTCCCATTTTTTTTGAAAAACCTGCGCAAAAAATTGCTTTTATATTTTTTTCGCGCAGGCGCACTTTTTAGAAAACGCATTACTCGACAATTACTCGAGTAAAAAATCACTCATGCAAATTTACTCGAGTAATTACTTACTTGCGAGGAACACACTCTAATAAAATGATTGATGTTCCGTTTCCCGTTGTTGACCATGAGGGTACGATCAACGTGTATTACTAGGCTCAGGGAAAAATGCTAACTCAGTTGCGAAAAATTCAATTCTTAAGCGAACTTTAACAACAAAAATAACAATTATTCCTCAAAGTATAAACGATGATTATCTACGACTTTCTGCCATCGATCTACAAGCTCTCTTCTGCCATTGCTCTGCAAGCTTTCTTCTGCCATCGACCTACAAGCTTTCTTGTGCCATTGATCTGGAAGCTTTCTTCTGCCATCGATCTACAAGCTTTCTTGTGCCATTAATCTGCAACCTTTCTTCTGCCATTGATCTACAAGCTTTCTTGTGCCATTGATCTGGAAGCTTTCTTCTGCCATCGATCTACAAGCTTTCTTGTGCCATTAATCTGCAAGCTTTCTTCTTCCATCGATCTGCAAGCATCTCTTGTCGAAAGTTTCCCTTTCCAGCGGATCAAAACTCGAAGCTCTTTTTCTTGCAAACTCATCTAGAATACAAAGATCATAACTGGTACAACAGCGCGAAAAACCAGATGCCAGATGCAAAAAATGCATAAAAATTGAATTTTTCGCAGCTGAGTCAGAACTTTTTTCTCAACCTAATATAAAGTTGATTTTAGTGATCCTTCGACGTTAAATCATCAAAAACTCTTAAAAAATTAAACCAATTTTTACAAATCTTGTTTACAAGTTTACAAATATTGCAAAAAAAAATCAGCAATTTCTACTATCCACTAATCCCCGCACACTCACCAATCCCTATCAAAGGTTTGCCTGCTGAATCACCAGCAACCTAGCCTTTTTATGAGCAAGAAATATTTTCCTTTATTTGAGAAAAGAGTTGAGAAATCCTAATCTTGTTGGGTTTCTCATAACGGACGTTTTTTTTGGTTACTTCTCCAATTACTCACATTTTTGAGGGAAAAGGTAAGACCTTACTAATGACTTTCGTAAGAAAAACGAAGAAACAAGAAGTGATGAGTAAACGTTTTGGTTTGACTTTTGAATGTTTTAAACTCATTATCTCTTTGGATTTGACATTTGTCTTTTTTTGTATTTTTTTAAAATTTAAAATTAAAATTTTTTTGTACTTTATTTACTTATTTATACTATTTATTTCCTTTTCCTTTCCTAACCTCTCTAATTGCTTTTTGGGGAGTGGGACAAATGCGACGTTTTTTTGCGCACCCGGACATTTGCGCACCTTGCCCATTAGCGCACCTTTTTTCGGGTTTTAAAAAAGCTCTAAAAAGCTAATATTAACCAATTTCTATTCCAAAAGTTGTTTTTCTAGGTAATTTTAGGGCGTAGAATCGAAATTTTGGCATATCAGAGCTTGTGGAAGCAAACGGACGGAGTTATACAAAGAGAAAAATCGACAATTTTCTGTAATTTGATTTTCTGTAATGTTTTGTCTTTCAAATTGGTTCCACACGCTCTGTTATGTCAAAATTTGAATTCGACACCCTAAAATTACCTAGAAAAACAACTTTTGGAATAGAAATTGGTTAATATTAGCTTTTTAGAGCTTTTTTAAAACCCGAAAAAAGGTGCGCTAATGGGCAAGGTGCGGCAAAAAAGGTGCGCAAATGTCCGGGTGCGCAAAAAAAAAGGTCGCATTTGTCCCACTCCCGCTTTTTGAATTGCTTGAAAATCCCGTAATGAAGTGTGTTGAGTGATCACTTAAAACTGAAAACTTAAACTTAAAAATTTCAAAATTTTATGGCATTAATGGTCTATTTTTCAAACTGAATACAGTATGATTGAGCTTTAAAATACTACAATTTCTCTACTTTAAAAAGTTGCATGAAATTTCAATGCTAAAATCCCTAATCCTTGGGAGATAAGCACTTGAAATTTTCAAGTTCAAAAATCCGGTTAAAAGTTTGGAGATTTTTTTAGTCGAGAACTCATTGACTTTGAAAGATCCATTGTCATCTCACAATGCTCATCATTTCCACTCAAAAGCTCCAAAAGACTTTTTTGTTTTTGAAGATAAATTCGTTTAAAGCTTGTGAACACTGAAAAAGTGTTCTTTTTGAATTTTTTGAATTAACTGTTAAATAAGATTTGTGATTAAGAGTTATTACTGACTCATACCCACGCAATTCTTGGATCGCAATCTTCTTACAAATTCTTGAGCCAAGAAATTTGTTTAAATACTTTTTATCTTACTTTAACAACAATTAAACCATTTCTAATTGGTAGAATTAATAAAATGAATATTTTCAATCGATTCCCTGATCCCGAAAACCCTTGGATACAAATTACAACTGAATATCTTTTTAATATTATCTACGATGCAAAAGACAAACCCTTGTGTAAGTGAGTGCTGAGATGTTCTTTGTGCGAATCGCTCGCCGTCTGGCACACCCTCCCGTTACATAAGGGTTTCCTTTCTCGAAAGGGAAAGCACCGAGCACTCGCTCGGCTGACTCGCTCGCTTTGCGGCTATACCCAAACTTCTGAGATCTGTTTTGTCTTAAATTTGGCTGGATTCTTGACGCAAATTCTACATCCCGTTAAACCAAAATAGCTGAGATATTGAAGTTAATTTTAGTGAGAATGGATCTCAATTCTCCTTAATCAGCCTCCTTAATCAAAATTTGTTCCCTTTCTCCCCCACCAATTGCACTAGAGTGTAATATTTGTTGCATCGTCATTGTACCCCCAATCCACCAAAATCTTGTCACATCTTGTCAAAGTCATTCAACTTTCTAAAACATGACATTTCTAAAGATTTTTTTTATCTGTTCCAATTCCTTTCTCGTTAACAATTTCTAAAATTGCATTAGTTTTCGAGAAAACTTGACTCTTGGCTATTAAAAAAAGTTTGAAAACCAGTTTTTCTGTATTGAATTCTTTCCCAATTCTTGTAACTAATCAAAAATTTGTTTAAATTTCTAACATTGGTTTTGTTTGTTAGGCAGAAATGGGCAAAATTGGGGCCACTTTTCTGTCTTGTTTATGAATCAAAACAAGAATTTTGGCTAGACTTTGAAAAACTTTAAAGATTTTTAAATTTTAAGTAAGGTTTATGATTGTTGTCTTTGATTTTAGCGTGACTGTTTGACTTTTGTTGCCTCGTGGGGGTCAACAGACATCCCCATTCCAATAAAAGTCCAAAAGAGATGGGCCAACCAGATGGGTTTGTGCTTTTGCAAAAGAAATGATTTAAAAATTGCTACGAATGCTTTCTCGTTTTATAATTTTCAAATTATGCCTAAAACTATTTAGGTAACATGGAATTTGAGTCTAAAAAAGGCTTTGATAGCTTCAAGCTTCAAGCTCCACAAGAGTCATCTCGGTACTTTGTGCTTGGATCTCTGTAAACGCTTGTCTTCCGGCATACTAAATCTAAACGACAAGAAAACTATCAAAAGTATCTAAATCTAGTATCTAGCTCTAGTGTGGCAGAAAGCTAATGTTTTTTTACAACTGGAGCACAAAGTACACGGTGTGTAAGCAGTTTTTCTTTGTAGAAAACTTTAGAACTTTCCTTTTTTTCCTTAGAACTTAAAAATTAGAAAACAAAACTATTCATTGCTTATGTTCAAGCCCAGATTCCAAAGATCTTGTTCTTATTTTGAAGCCATCATTCAATCTCGCAAAAAGCGTCTTTGCCTCTCGTTAAGTGTTCATTCTGGACAATCACGGGGCAGATCTCAGTCTTTTTTTAAAAGCCCATCAAGAGATTTGATTCCTTTGATATGGGGTTCAGTAGACAAATGTTTCTTCATTGGGCCCACTAGAGAAAAGATCCTACTTTTGTCCCTTTTCCATTTGATGCGCTGTGAGCGTGCTCGGTGTGCAAATTTTTCACCCCTCTTTCTTTCCTCAAAAAAAAATCTCGTGCTAGTGTCCGCCTTTTTGCCTTTGTGGTCTCATTTGTTTTTGAAAAAAAGCTTTTTCCTCTAGACAGGTCATATTTTTTCTTCGAAATCTTCAACGCTTCATAGAGACATTTGTCTTGTTGCCTATTTAATATAGCTTTTTGGATTGCTTTTTGAAATATTCAAACCTCTATTCAAATCTCTATTTAGTAAGAAAATCTTCGAACGATAAAAGAAAGCGTCTATTGAAAATCGTTGCTCCAACACAGCTGTGCGCAATTTTTTTCGTACTATTGCTGAAATTTTATCGAAAATATAAGTATCCCCAAATATCTTGTGCCTAATTTCCAAGTCCCATTGGGGTGCTCGGGGAAATTGAACTTTCCAGTTACATAAGTCCTTGGGGGATACCTGACCAGCCTAACTTGGGTCACAACTTTGCGACAAAAGAAAGCGAAAAGAAAGTGAAGACTGATCCAATTGCACGGGCAATGGCGGCTCTATTTTGCTCATCTTTTACCCTTTCTGTGGCTTCTCTGCTATGCAAATCGTTTTCTCGTCGATGGCACAACTCGAGTCTCTTCCCGGTAATTTTCGGATCTCTTTCTTCTTTTTCTTTCCGATTCGAGACACCATATCCTTCCAAATGGCAGTTTTCTCTTTATGCATTTACTTTATAAAAAGCCGACTTTGTGACAGTTTGTGAGAGAAAACTGGAGGTAACTTTTACTAAACTTGTTGTGCTTTTCTGAGCTTTAAAATGCTTATCGAATTTCTTGCCACATTCTATAGTTTTTCTTGAACTTACTGTTAATCTTTGATAAGAATTATGAAAATTTTCAAGACTCATAGTGAACTTTAGACAAATCTAGCTTGTTAGAAATGGGTGAAACGTTATCTAGAACCAGTTCTACTCTTAAAAACTCAAGCCTAGAAACTTTCGTTTTTCAAGAAAAATCGACATTTACCTAACACGTTATGACAGTGATTCGAGAGATTTTTGACGTTTATAGAAAAATACTATTCTCTTATAAAAACTCTCAAGTATTGGCTCAGATTTTTACTTCTTTTCAATCAAAAACTTGGGTACAAGTTGCTGAGGGGCAAAAGGGACGTGTTTCTTTTTATAAAAGTGCCCCTTTGAATTACACTTGTTCATTCGATCTTTTTTACTCTTTTCACTGACTAGTCAATCCCTGGAAAAGGCTTTTTGTGAGTGAGAAAGTGACCGCTAGACTGGCCATGTTCTGGCGATTTTTGCTAAGTGTTCTCCGGCATTGGAGCGGAAATTTTTGCATTATTTAAGAACAAAATCTGGATCCATCAAGTAGTGAAAGGAGGGATTTCTTTGAGAAATTGCTTTGGACATTAGTGAAGTTATAAAAATGATATTTTTTCTGCAGTTAAATTCTTAAAATGATCAAAATGGTTTCTCATTTAAAAAGCCAAAAAAAAGCTTTTTGCATAGCTTGTAGTGTTTTTGCGACAATTTTTTAGGGAAATATAGTGTGACGGGGTTTCATGGATCTTTCCTCCTTTTCAACATTCGTTGTGCAATTCCACGATTCCCCAAGCTTCTCTCTTTGACCCAAAAACCAAAGGACTCTCTTGATCTTTGCGAAATTTTCTCAAACACGCACATATTCAATTTCTGCTCCTTTTTTTTTTAAATTATAAGTTTTCCTTTTCAAATTGAACCCTTTAGCTATGATGAAAACCTGTTTTATTGTTTCACTTGTGCTTTTTATTTAAAAATTTTAAGTCTTGTTCAAATTTCCATTTTTAGAGTTAATCGACGATGAGCTGATGTAAGCCGACTTCATTTTCTACACATTGTTCGTCGTGATGATGCGCTCATTTTATCTTCTTCTACTCGGGATCGTTTACATCGACTTTTTACTCGTTTCCGCTGCTGACTCTGAAGCTATTCGAACAGAAAAAGTTGGTTGAGATTTTAAGTTGTTATTAGTTTGTTTGAAGTTTTAATTAAAGTCACTTTGGTACTTTTGGTACTTTTTGTACTTTGAAAAGTTTAACTATGAAGTTCTTTTTAATTTTTTAAAGAAATATTGCTTTGGAAATGTTTTTCTTGTCGACAGTGAGTTACTCTTTTATTTTCAGGAACTAGTTGACATTTTCACAAATCAAGGCGATGTTTATACCTTTGATGATCTTAAAGAAGAGGTAAATTATGGATAAACTTAAGTGGCGTTCAGCGTCTTTGCATCCTTTGAATTATTCTACTTGTATTTTTGCAGGTCGGGCCTTTACCGGATATTCCTGACTATCGACACTATGATTATAACGAAATGACAGCTTATTTGAAAGTTTGTTTTATGAAAATAAGTTCTTATTGGTTTCTTTTAGGAATTGCATAAATTATACCCGAATCTGACGCACATCTACAGCGCTGGTCGGTCTGTGAATGGACGAGAGTTGTGGGTGTTGTGTATATCAAGGTTTCCCGCCAGGCACACCTTTGGCATTCCAGAATTCAAATACATTGCGAATATGCATGGAAATGAGGTGTGCTTGATTTTACAGTTTAAATAAATTTACGTTAAAAAAAGTTTATGGTTATCAGTATGAAAGTTTATAACAGCATCACTTCAATATCACTTATTTTTAGGTATCTGGGAGGAATTTCGTGTTATACTTGGCCTGGACGTTGCTTCATGAGTACACCAATAACGCTTGGATAAAAAATCTCGTTGACACAACAAGGTATGGCGGTTAGAAAATTAAATACCTAATTTTTTGGTTTTAGAATACACTTGATGCCTTCAATGAACCCGGATGGTTACGAGGAATCTGTCGAGGGTGACGAAACGGGTGTCCGTGGACGTAACAACGCGAATCGTAAAGATCTCAATCGCAACTTTCCGACTAGGTTAGATCTTAAATTCCTGGGGCTTAATTTACTCTTTTAGATTTCCCAACTACTTCCCATCACAACGGCCGGAACCTGAGACATTAGCGGTGATCAAATGGTCGAGAAACGTCCCATTTGTTCTATCCGCCAACCTTCATGGAGGTATTTTTGTAGACTTTGTGAGTTTACATTGTTTTATTTAGGTAGCACAATTGTCAACTATCCATTCGATGATGCGCCGACTCGAGTTCGAGCTCACAAGTACACGCCATCTCCCGATAATGCGCTCTTCGTTCGACTTGCCTACTCGTATGCTCGAGCACACACCAGAATGTGGAAACCGGTTAGCACATTGTTTTGGGAACATAATTTTATTGTTATCTGATTACATATTCTTTTTTATTTAGGGTCCACGATGCGTCAACGATCAACTAAATATGGCACTTGACCCGGAGCATGGCATTGTGAATGGCGCCGAGTGGTATATCGTTCCTGGCGGAATGCAGGTTTAGTAACTTTTCGTCATTAATTTGTAATGTTTAAGATTCCAATTGATTTAGGATTGGAATTATATCCATACGAATTGCTTCGAGGTGACTGTTGAGACGAATTGTGTGAAATTTCCTCGAAAATCCGAGATGAAATGGTTGTGGGATGAGAACAAATACGCACTGCTCTTTTATGCCGCACAAGTTCACAAGTAATTTTGATATTTAAATCGTTAATGCTTTTTGAAAAAGGTGTGCGCTGGCTTTTTTGCGCTTTTCACATTGTAATCTTTCAATTTGATTGTTTTTAGTGCGATCACTGGCTTTGTCATTGACAAAGAAACCCGTCATGGTATACCAAACGCAACTGTGTCCATCGACTTCCGCAGCAAGATTGTTTCTTCATATGATGGCGGAGAATTTTGGCGTCTTGCAAATATTGGTGAATATGAGGTTTTTTTCAAGCTCTAATCTAGTTTTGTTCTTTTGAAGTTTCTCAAACTTATTTGATGTAGTTTTAGTTTTGTTTTAGGTGACTTTTGATCATCCAATGTACGTGCCGGTCACGAAGAAAGTCACCCTCACAAAGGAGAAGCGTTCAGCTCGGGTTCAGGTAACTGTTTCACTGATGCTTCTATGAATACCGAAGTTGATAAAACCTAGATAATAGTAACGTAATACGTAAGGTTCTAGCCGTTTTTGTTTAGGTTGAATTGACACGGTTGGAAGAGGAACTCCTGAACGATGTGAACTCGCGACTCGCCGGCTACGATGAAGAACACTCTCGTTACAGCCGATCCACATTCAATTCTCAACCTTCTCTCATCTTAGTATTCACTTCCCTTCTATTCATCTCTTATCATATGGGTGCTCATCAATTATTTTGATTTTGTCTGTGAATAAATTTTATCATTGATGTCTGTGAATAAATTTTATCCTTTGCAATAAACTCTTTTAAGCTCAATTGACAAAAATGATTATGCGACAAAAAGAGATGAGATCAGTCAATGCACCAAAAATGTAGTTATGAAATGAAATCAAAAACCAGCTGTACAGAAACTAACATGCAAACAGAAGGGAATTGAAAAATGGAAATTATCGTTTTGGTGGAGCTGGTGCCGGAGCAGTCATCTCGGTTTTTTCTTTATGAACTTGCCTAGCGATTTCGCGTTGAAGTTTCGAGAGTCGATCGTGAATTTTCTCAAGAGTTGAACCAGCGTTTGTGATTCTTCTGTAAATTTCCATAAGTTATGCTCGATTTTTCTTTTCCCCTACCTTTTAGAGTCATCGATTTTCCTTGTGTACACATCCAAGTCATACTCAGGTTCCTCGCCGAGATTGTGCAATAAATCGGCCATATCTTGAATCTTCTCAGCGAGTACTGCCTGGAAATTAGTGATTGGATTTTTTTTCAAAACAAAAACTCAAGCTTTTTGTAAACAAACTCACTTGAGCTCTTTTTGTCGAAACGATCTGGGAATCGAGCAGCTGAACGGAAGGCTGAATTACCGCCATTATACCTGGAAAAATGAATGTTAAGGCTTTACGAAATGCAAGTATTTTGGCTAGTTCTTTTGATTTACCTGCAGCCATCTCCGATCCACCGCCAACCTCATCGGGACTTGGTATAGGTGAGCTTTTCTCTTGGCTCATTGCTTTTTGTTACTTTTAACAACTTTTTAACATTCTCAACAAAATAGGAATAAAGCCAGTTTAAAGGCTTTGTCTCTTTCAACTAGGTTGGGTATTGGATCTGCGTAGTTGCCATGGGATTTCTCTCGCAAAGGCGGAAAGACTACGGTAGACGAGATGTCAAATGGAATGGCTTAGGCACTTGATACACAAAGAAGCTAGGGAAACGAAGACCTTAGCATAGAAAAAGACACTGAATTTAATTCAAATATGTAGAGAAAAGATAATTATTATTAATTAGGATAAAAATGGATAAGTTTTGGATGCTGATGTGGATGCGGATGTCGGTGTAAAGCTAAAGTCCTTCGTAAGGAAAATACCAAATCAAACAAGTCCTAGCAAAAACCATAAGAATCTGTAAAGTTCAATATTCCATACAATGATAAAACTAAATTCTTTTACTTCAAAAGATTTTTCTATTTACGATCATCTCTTTTTTGCCTTGTGTTTGTCGATGGGTATTGTTAAGGTTGAATTGGATGCCTTTCCCGTAAAAAAATTTTTTTTCCGATCTCTTTTTTTGGTGTTGAGCTAAAAATAATTGAATTTTAGAGATTTCTAACGTATTTTTTTTGGATTTCAATGAGACACAATCAAATTGTTTATCGGTATCGACCGAAACCCCTTGAGAAAGTGATTTGGAAACAGATTGAGAGGAGAACGGCTGATGGATATTTGATTTCGGTTTCGAGTCAGGTGAGCTATTTGATCGATTTTTTTGATAAATTAGCATTTGATAATGATTTACACTCAAAAATACCATATTTTCTCTAATAGTAGTGCACCCTGAGCGTCGCCTAAATTCCTCGAAATCTCGAGAAGCGCTTATCAGAACCTATTGATGTGGGGTCGGAAAATGTAGCTGACGATGAGATCTAGTGGAGGATTTGAGTGTTGAGCTTCTTCAAAAACTTTGAAACCGTAAGATAGTCATCAGCTCGACTCGACGGGGTGCACTACTATTAGAGAAAATACGGTATTTCTTTTAAAGCACTAAAAACTAAATCTCATCAAAATCTATTCAAATTTAAAATTTAAAATGCAAGTTTTTGAGTTTTTCATCGCTGAAACCTCATTTTCAAAAATTCCACCAACTTTTTGGTGTTGAAATAGCTAAAAAATCGTTTAAAATATAGTTTAGGCTGAAATATAGATTTCCAATCCTTTTAGGAATCCGTTCAAGTGGCCGACTATGATAAGTTCTATGCCTGTTCTGGGGACTCATCCACCAATGATAACGTTTCGTCGACCAAAAGTTGGTCATATCATCCGAATCCCTGTGATCAAAGAGAAAGTTTTCAATTATTTCTGAAATCTTCTAATCTTTAATTTCAGTTCGTGCAATCCATCCGACTTTATGTGATCGAAAAGAAAGTAACAAAAGTTTAAGCATTTAGAGACTGTTAACACATTCACGACGACGGCATTTTGAGTGTACAGTCGCGTAGTCGTTAACTGTTTTACCGATAATTTGGTGAAGATTCGAAGATAAACTAAACTATTAGGTTGAGGAAAAAATAATGTCGGTTTTGAATTCCCGTTGTTGGCAATTTTCCAGTTCTTTGCTTATACGGAAGACAGCATTAGCGAAAGACAATGCCAAAGATGGTTTCAGCGGTTCAAAGATGGAAATGAAAGTCTCCAAGACGAGGAACGGTCTGGACGATCAAAGGTCAACCCCCACAACCAAAGCCGACATTACTTTTTCCTCAACCTAATATTATAGTCATTCGATAGCCCTGAATCCCCTCTTGAAAACGAGTATAAAGTTAGCGCGAAATTTCTACGAAATAAATCACAAAAGTTTCTTGAAAACTTGTGTTGACATGAAAAACAATCGTTATTAGTTCGGCCCATATTGACCGATATTGACAGGCGGACCGTATTGTCGTGAATGTGTTAACACAAAGCTAATCAAAGCGTTAATCAAAGCGCTAATCAAAGCGTAAATGATTAGCGGGATAAAATGAAATGAAACCTGACTAGCTTCGAAATCAATGCCAAAATGGTTTTGAGAACTGATAACTAATTTGTAAAGAAATCTTATTCTACATGCTCGTGCTCGGTACTCCTCACTCAAGGCACACGATTTCATATTTTGAGATAGCAGATCTCACTTGATTTTCACTCTCTTAAACTAAAAAAAAAACAGCCACACGAATCAACAATTGAATTAAAAGAGACGATAAACAGAAAACAATTTCGTCTAAACTCGGACAAAAAACTTTCACACAAAAATGGGGGTAGGCTAGTTTCCGCAATTTTTTTTGCGCAACATGGTCATTTGCGCAACGGGGTCGTTTGCGCAACTCGTCATAACTTTTTTCTAAGTGGTCCAAAATCTTTATGATTTTGGTTTCATTTTGTTGCACTTATTGAGATCTACAAAATGACACCAAAATCATAAAGATTGATCCACTTAGAAGAAAGTTATGGCGAGTCGCGCAAAAGACCTAGTTGCGCAAATGACCCAGTTGCGCAAAAAATTTGGCGCAAAGTAGCCTACCCCAGGTAAAGGGAAAACTAACTGCTGCTCAAATCTTAAAACTAAAATCTTTAGCCTATCTTTGCTATCTAGCCTATCTTTAGCCTATTCGGCCAATCTTTATGATTTTGGTTTCATTTTGTAGATCTCAATAAGTGCAACAAAAAGAAACCAAAATCATAAAGATTGGCTGACTTAGAAGAAAGTTATGGTGAGTTGCACAAACGACCCAGTTGCGCAAATGACCATGTTGCGCAAAAAAGTGGGAGAAACTAGCCTACCCCCGAAAATGAAAAAGAAGAATAGGCAAATGAACAAGAGTTGCCTTATATACCCTTTAAACACAAGATTTTCAGCTAACCGCCTGCAAAACAACAATGATTTGGGGCGCGAAATAGAATGAAGATGCACGGATTTCCTCAATAATTTTCCAATTTTCAAACTACCAGAATTAGGAAACTTTTTTAAATGGTTATTCGCTGCATTCAAATCTCGAAATTCTAGCCCGTTTCTGCGAGCGTTGCACTGATGACATTCGCGAAGAAGGGATCTCCTATGAGGAATGTGCATATCAAAGAAACTATCGAAATCTCTCTTTTGACAGTGTTTCATTGAAACATTTATTTAACCGAATCAATTACATTCGAGAGTTAGAATAAACTCATTAACTTTTAACAAATCAAACTTTAGTGATAATGGTGTACGACGTATTCATCAAGATCAATATCTTTGTGATGAAGCACAAAATTGGGCCGACTATTTAGCAAATCGAGATGAGTTTTGGTAAGTGCAAAAAAGGGTGAGGCAATGGCACAAATTTATAGCACACGATCCGGTTTCTGTATGTCGGTGTGGATGGGTGAGGATCCATCATCAGACATCGCTTTTGGTTGGATCACTGGTAAAGTTACAGGAATCAAAATGCGACGCAGTTGGAACTAGGGCAGATCAAAAATTTGCACGCCGCCGGGACTCGAACCCACGACCATTCGCTTACCGGGCAATTGTGCTAACCATTAAACCATAACGCACTTGATCCCTATACTCCAGAGGAAGTTAGGTTCCCTCCTCTCTGGACGAGACGGTTCCACACGTCTCGATTTATAGGCATGGGGTGCGCTCGAAACTAGGTATGAAGACCCTAGCCAGCATTGCAGAGTCCATCCTTCCATGGTCAACAGTTGGAACTAAAGTAGATAAAAACTCATGCGTCGCTGGGACGCGAATCCGCGAACTTTCGCTTACCGGGCAATTGTGCTAATCATTAAACCATAATGCACTTGATCTCCTTTCTCCAGAGGGAGTTAGTTAGTGTGCATGAAAGAGTGAAGAACCAAGAAACTTCTTCGGCGTACCAAAACGTATAGTTCAAGAATTCAGTTGCTTTTTAATTTCTTAACCATTTCCAATTTTAGACGCTGACCGTTCAAAAAACCCGAATCATTGCCTGGAGGCAACCCGGATCGGTCTTGGCACTACTTACAACAACTACAGAAAGATGCATATTGTGGTGGCCTGTTTTGAATAAAGTGCTTTAAAAACAAACGATACTGTAACAGTAAAATAAAACTTTGTAATAAGTATAAACTCGATATGGGAAACCACTTTGTAAATATTAAATAGGATTGTAAATAGCTTCACAATGATCAAGCTCTTTGAGTCATAAATCTTTTGCAACAGTTTCACTCATTAATTAATTTTTATTCATTAACCTTTTCTTTTGGAGTTTGCAGCAAGAGATTCGAAACGATGAATCTAAAGGTGAATCAGTTTCTGTTTTAATTTTCTGATAAAAATTACAAATTTTAGAACTTTTTTTAAGTAAAATGACCACTAGTTTTTTTTCACTGCGAGATACATTAATTAGACATTACAACTGTAAAATTCAATATTTTTATCTTGAATTGGCTTTAATTTAGCTGAACAATGTGGAAATTCAAAGGAATGGAGCTGGATTTACTCATTTTTACATTTCTTTCACTTGTAAATCTAAATTTAAATAAAGTCTAGTTTATTTTTATTTTGTAAAGAAGAAATGAAAGATATATGTAGATAAAGATAAAGAAAAAATTTGTTTTTTTTTTTAATTTTCTCATAGTAAACTTTGAAGTAAGTTGATTGATCGGAAACGGGGTTAGTGTTTGAATTTTCTCGAGTTCTTCTTGAACCGCTCGACTATAGCAATGATCAAATTCAGTCAATGCAGTCAATGCATTCAATGATCAAAACAAAAATATTTTGTCTATATCTCGGTAAATTTAGAAGAAATGAGATTCCATGCAAAAAGTGCAAAAGTCTATTGATGGATAAATGAAGGAGATATTTGAAAGAGGAAAGAGAAAGACCGGTCTCTCCCTTTCTCTCATAAACATCGTACTTAAAGGATGGGAAATGTAGATATTCTCGAAAACATTTTAATTTCTTTCTTTTATTGTCTAAAGATTATATTTATAAGTAAACATTTCAAATTTCCTTAATTTCAGCAATAATGTCCCTCCAAAAGTCTCTTGTTCAACTCATCCTCCTTTTCTGTTGGCTGGAGATTGTTGCGGGTGAGTGGGGGAAAATTCTATTGCAATACTAAGTAGCTTTCCAATTGCAAGTCAAATGGCTTGGTTTTGACTTGATCTTTCCAAAATATCGGGTTTTTTCTTTTTTTTCTGTCCTCCTACTGCCCCCTTTTACCCACAAACCATTAGGGACCAGATTAGCCAAAATTGACCACCTTTTTTTTTTTTCCGAGGTAAACCCTAAGTATATCTCCTAAAGACCACCATCTTCCTCCTCCTCCCTTCTTTTTTTTTTTTCCCTTTAAAGTTGGAGCCGAGGTCACTTGACCCCACTCGTGAGTTTTGAACTTTTTTGAGAGCTTTTTGTCAAAATCTCGTTGGTTTTTTTTTTTTTGTTCACCATTTCCATCCCTCTACGCAGTTTAATTAATTTCGGGCCCCCCTACTCACTTTTATTTTCTTTTTTTTTTTAAACGATTTAAACCCCTTCGGGGAGCCCCTTAAGGACCGGAATCTTTTTTTTTTCGATCTATAACTTTTTATTTTATAAGTAAATATATTTAATTAAAATCTATCTTAAAGCTTTTTAGCATTTTTTATTTTATAGGGGCGCGCGGCGACACTCGGCTCTCAACTTTTGAAAGTCATATAAAAAAGTTGAAAGCTTGAATCGATTAGATAATGGGTACCGTTTCAGGAGAAATGCTTAAGATTTACCTCCAGAAAAAGCAGAACGATTGAACCAATTTTAGCCAATCTAGGCCCTCTGAAGTGCGGCGCTATAATTTGTGGGTCATACAAAGGTGTAGTCATGGATGTAGGACTAGGAAAATGAATAGGCAAAACCCGATATTTTGGAAAGATCAAGTCAAAACCAAGACATAATTGTGGGCTATCCTGTAAATCTAGTAAGCTTATAGATGGAAAGAAGAAAAGAAAACATCTATCATAGTTGAATTGTTTGTTTTAGATGTTTCTTAAGCTATCTACCCATAAACAGATCTGTAATCGGTAAATATTTTCGCTATTTTTAAGAATTGATGTATAAAAACAATTATAAAGCATAATGAGCTAACTATTTAAAATTTGCGTATCAAAGAACTGGCAAAGCTAGAGCAAATAGGCCAGGCCCAAGCTCCCATAGCCCATTTGACCCATTTGGCCCATTTGACCAATTTAGCCCATTTGCGTATCAAAGAACTGGCAAAGCTAGAGCAAATAGGCCAGGCCCAGGCTCCCATAGCCCATTTGACCCATTTGGCCCATTCGACCCATTTAGCCCATTTGCGTATCAAAGAACTGGCAAAGCTAGGGCAAATAGGCCAGGCCCAAGCTCCCATAGCCCATTTGGTTACTTAGCGGAGCCCATTTGACCAATTTAGCCCATTTGCGTATCAAAGAACTGGCAAAGCAAACAGACCAGGTTCATCAAGTGGAACTCTTTTGGCTATTTAGCGATAATTTGAATGTAATTTATTTGAATAAATACAAAATTACAGCTGGAGTCCTCAAGGCTGCTGCTGGTGGAGCTGCACTCGGAACCGGTGCCTATCTTGCTTCCAAAGTCGTTGGATAATCAAGCCAATTTCTAAAAGTACAGAAAAAAAGCTGTATAGACACTATATAATAAACTATTTTGTTTTTAAATTCTTTAAAGAAAAAGAATATTGTAGCAAATGCAAAAGAAGATAAATTGAAAGTTAAAAGCTTCACACATTGCATTAAAGAAAAAAAAGGAGTAGAGCTTTGAATCTGTGGCTTTGAATCTGTGGCTTAGCGGCTTTAAATCGGTGGAAAATCCTTTAGACTTTGAGTACCCAAGCAGAGAATAGAGCTTTTCTTTACATAGAAATGATGGAAAGGAAAAGTAAGAAATTTTTGTGTTACAGAAAAGGTTAAATGACAAAGGTTGGTTGAGCATGTTTAGCATTGTTTAGAGTAATTTTAGCATTTATTCACTTTCAAAAAGCTTAGCCCCAGTCAAAATCTAAAGTTGCTTTTTACTTTTATCTTAAATTTGACTAACTAAACTTCTGTAATTTTTGACAAAGGATTGATATTTTCAAGAATACAAGAAATTTGTTGTATCCAAAGTCAACCTATTTTTTAAAACTGGTTTATTAACGTCAATAAAACGGCCTTAATGTTTTAAAGATAGAAAAAGAGGTTTTTTTATGAGTTTCAGTGAGAGCTATTATGGAACATTTCAATGCCAAATCAGAGGCTGCATTGTTACCGGGTAAATATGACACGTCTTTTTTGCCCACGTAATTTGTAGATCTGTTACAATTAGAATATACATGTAATGCTGAAAAACAGAAAAAAAAACCAATTAATTGAATGAAAATAGCTTAATTAGCGCTGTAGCGAATGGGTTGAAGAAATTTGTCTAGGGTATTTCTGGTTTTAAAATGCTTGTTAAAAAAATCTTTAAAGCTATCTTTTTTGCTTTTGTTTGATCTCTGTAAGTCTTCTTTGCATTTACATTTGCAAATATTTTCCATTCAACTATTGCTATCAAAATCTTTTTATTAAATATAATAAAAGGTGATTCTTGAGAGTTTTTTATCCGTTAAATCGAATCGTGAAAGGACCAAAGCGAATCAAAAACCGGTGACAACTTTCAGAGCGACGCCGGCAAAACATTGTTGAGGTAAGCTAAAGTTTCGATTTTAGATCTTGAAATTTGCAATCAATCCTTAAACTCACCGAATTCTTATCCGTTTGTCTCCTGATTCTACTCGTATTTCCTATTCCTGGTTTTAAAAAGCGATAATGCTTGTTAAAAAAAAGCTTTTGTTCTTTAAAGCTTTTGTTCGATCTCTGTAAACTTTCTTTGCATTCAACTATTGCTATCAAAATCTTTTTATTAAATATAATAAAAGGTGATATCTTGAGAGTTTTTTATCCGTTAAATCGAATCGTTAAAGGACCAAAGCGAACGAAACCGGTGACAGCTTTCAGAGCGACGCCGACAAATCGTTTGAAAGCTCGACCCAATTTCTTCCAAAAAGATCTCTTTCGACGAGACGATCTTCCCATTCTTCCCAAAGCTCTTTCTTGACTTCTGAAGGCCATTTGCAGTTGACCAAAACCGAGATCCCTGCTTGTCAATCCTTTTCCAGCCAACTTTCCAGCCAAATTCATTCTCCCAAAACTTTTCGTGTTTAACTGTTCCAAAACTGTTTCTTGAACCGTTAGACGATTAAAATTCCCTTGATTTATCTCCTCTGGAGGATCACCAATCACTTGTCGAACGTGTGGCCAACTTGATTCCTCAAAGCTTTGAGCGTCCAATTCGGTGTCCAATCGAATCGGTCGACAATAGCTGATTGTACCGTAGCCACGAAGACTTGACGGGAGGTTGACGTCAGCTTGTTGAATTTGTGAAATCCTTGTTCGAAAACCATTTGATCGAAATCCACCATTCGTTGGCTCATTTCGCAATAATTGTACCCCATTTGGTGCACACTCGAAACCAACAGGACAAGTGCTTTTTCCCTTTAGCGCCGAATCGCAAAACATTGTTGAAGTAGGCTAAAGTTTTGATTTTAAATCTTGAAATCTTGAAATCATAAACTCACCGAATTCTCATCCGTTTGCCTCTTGGTTCTACTCGCATTTCCTTTTCCTTTACAAACTTTATAATTATCAGCCAATCCTTGCATATACGTTGTCTTTATTGACGTTAAAAAGAGTGTGTGAAGGAAAAAATCAGAATCATCCTGAAAATTATTGTCAAAAAGTGTGTAGAGTCTGTTCCTCGCGAGTAAGTAATTTACTCGAGTAATTGTCGAGTAATGCGTTTTCTAAAAAGTGCGCCTGAGCAACAATTGTTGAAAAAGAAAGCTTTGACATCAAAGTTCTTTGATTTTAAATTAAACTGAACTTAAAAAATATAAAAGCAATTTTTTGCGCAGCTTTTTCAAAAAAATCATTACATTGGAAGGGAATTCCCCAACAAATCAGTTAAACGGCTGAGTATCTTTTAAAAGTGTCGTATATAACGCGAGGCTCGTCATTTTTGCGTCATTTTTTTTGCCATAATTTTTTGCTAAAAGTACGGTAATTTTTTTGCCCAAGTTTGCGTTTTAAAAAACGCATTACTCACGAGGAACACACTCTATTAAAAAGAGTGTATGAAGGAAGAAATCAGAATCATCCTGAAAATTATTATCAAAAATCTATTTGATGATTAGTTTTGGAAGTAAATCAACTATAAAATCAACTATAAAACGAACTATTGTAATATTATTTCTTTCTGGATCGAACTCCTTCTCCGCCCAGAAACCGCTCTCGTTAAAGCGACGCTCGCAATCAATTGGATCAATCAATTCTGGTTCTGAAAAAGAAGGCTTTTGAAAAAGACGTCAATTTTCTTTCGTTAATGGTTTTAAATTGAACTAAACTTTGAAAAAAACTACCTGAATTCCGAAAACCATTTCCAAAAGAGTTCCGAAAACCACCTCCAGCTCGAAACTGAGCAACGATTGTTGAAAAAGAAAAACAGAAAATGATAAAAGCTTTCATTGGCTTTGTTAACTATTCATTGATCTTTTCTCCTTTTATATGAATTCAATCAAATAAAGAACAATAGAGACTATTGTTTTTGATTGTTTGTTCAGCTTAATCTGAGGTCAATATCCATTTAGCCTATAGGAAAAGGTTTAAGGTCAATTGTAAAAAATAAAGCCAAAATTAGTCTATGATTTTGTTGCAGAATGATTTTGGCGATAAACCTGATAATTTATAAATGAATAATGATAAGTTTTATAGAAATTTTTTTGTTTCTAACGTGCTTTCTAACATTGTACGTCTTTTCCTTTTCTTTTCGTTTAATGATGTGAACATTAAAGTTGAGTTGATAGTTTAAAAAGAGAATTATAATTGAAAATCTTCCTTCCTGAAAATCACCTTCCTTTTTTTTCTGAAAATAGCTATCTCTAGTTGACGTGGCTACTTAACAAGTAAAATATATTTATTAAGCTTAGTTGAACTGAAATCAATTCGATTCTCAATCAATGGATTATATCGACAGTATTGTACAGGGTTTAGAAAAAGGTGATGCAGAGAAGAAGGCCGATGATGAGAACTGAAGAAGTTGGAGCCGCATTGCAACGATCTCCTAAAAGTTGTAGGTTTTCGTTTTGGTTTTGTTATAGGTTTTGATGCTTTTACACACTATAAGTTGAAAATCTAGCTTCTTTTTGGATTAAAAATGATCGCTTGGTACAATTAATGAAACAGAAAAAAGACGACCAAGAACGTAAGGCCAAATGATGCAATTAATTGCTATTTTTCTTTAATTTTACCAAATTTTTCTATAAAAACGATCATTTAAAGGAAACAAAATCAAAAAGCAAAAATCTTTTATTTCTAGTTTATTTGGGTTAAAATTTTTCCAAATTCTACCTGAACAACAGTAGGCGTTTCCCGAAAAACCTGGAACACTCGAGATGCTGCTTTGCGTTTGCGTTGACTAGAAAAAAAATAAAAGTTTTTGTGTTAAATTTTATTGGTTTTATTGATTTTTATTGATTTTTAGTGATTTTTAGTGATTTTTATTAATTTAAAAATCTCATTTAAGAAACTGAAAGGACCTTTAGCGTTATGAGAGGGATCAAGTTTTTAGCTAACTTTCACCTCCTTTTAAAGCACCTTAAACTTGTCAGATCAGAAAGTTTTAATAAGATTTAGATAGGTTAAAACGTCGTCTTTCAGAAACTATTTGTTTCATTCAAAGTTATTAACAAAAATCTATTTAAAATCGGTCTGGGAAATGGTCAAAAACTGACAAAAACAAAAACTTGATCCTCTCCCGAGAATTGTAAAGATCCAACAGAGAGATCTTGTAAAGATCTTGAAATTATTTTTCCAGAAAGAACTTTAGGTAAATTCTTTCAAAAATCGAACCGAACAAGTGTAGGGATATTGCTGATTCAAGCATCCACAGCCTCGATAAGTAAACGTCGCTCCGCCGAGAGTTCCACTCAATTTCAGACAATATTTGCAATTTGCACACAATGTCGCTGTTGCCTGAATGCAAAAATTTACTGAAATTTAGTGAAATTATGAAATTACCGTGGGAAAAAATTAGAATTCCCTAAATTCCGGGTTCCCCAGCTACAGGGTGACCAAGAATTACCGCAACAACGTCGTATTATGTTATGAGTTCCATTTCACTTTTTGCTTACCTGTTTTTATGGATTTTGTGTATTTTTCTTATTTTATAGTATGATTACTAACTTTTAATACATTAGTATGGTTGTTTTCAGGAATGGTGAAAGCGTCTCCACATCGACAATCGGTCCTTGAGCTCAAGCGGTAGCGTGTTCAAGCGAGCGAGATCTCAAAGCGCCTGAATGTCCCCAAAAGCCTCGTTTCTCGAATCATTCAACGTTATGAAACTCTAGGCACAGTTTCTGATCGCCCTGGAAGAGGTGCAAAACGAACAGCGGTTACTCCGGCTAATGTCATGAAAGTGCGCAATCGTCTAAGATTAAACCCTAACCAATCGGCTCGAGGAATGGCACAGAAAATGGGTCTGAAGAGAAGCTCCGTCAAGACAATCATCAAGAAAAAGCTGAAAATGAAGCCGTACAAGAAGAGCAAATCTCAATTAACCGGGATAACCGCCAATGGGAAAACCCCGTTGATCTTTGTTCTTCAAGGTGTAAAAGTAAATGCGGTCAATTATTTGGACTTGCTAAAGAAGGAGGTTGTTCCGTGGGCTCAACGCCACTTCAAAAATCGAATTTGGACTTATCAACAAGATGGTGCGCCGGCTCACAAGGCAAAGAAGGTGCAAGAGTTTTGTTCAAAAACCTTCCCGGACTTCATCTCGTTTTCTGAGTGGCCACCCAGCTCGCCCGATCTTAACTCATTGGATTACTCAGTCTGGAGTGTTCTTGAAGCCAGGGCATGTGCAAAACCACATAAAAATATCGAAAGTTTGAAGAAGGCGCTCATCAAAGCACGGAATACTCTCGATGATGCCTATTTGCTCGCCACGGTCAACGCGTTTCTCAAACGTTTCCAGGCCTGTCTGAATGCCGATGGAGGTAAATTTTAATTTAATTGTTGATTTGTTACTGTTATATCTTGAATAAAGATATTTAAGTTAACTTTTCGAGATGCGTTGCATATTTGGTTAAAAGCCAGGCCTTTCGTGTGTTGCGGTAATTCTTGATCACCCTCTAGAAACCCAAATTGTAATCGAAAATCCAAAAGCTTTAGATTCCATATTTCAATTCGAATTCAATTCGAATCCGAATTAGAATTAGAATTGATGGAATTCTAGTCTTGATCTGAAAAATTGAGAAACAAACATGTTTTTGGCTAGAATTTGGTATCAAATCAGAGAAGTTGTGCAAATTTTTGCTTGAAGTTTGTTAAGCTTTTCATTTTTAATTATCACATCAACTATTCTTGAATATTCAAAAAAACAATTTACCAATAGAACTTTAGATTTAATTCAATTCAGTGCATTCATCCGATTCGCGAAATTGTAATCAAATCCTAAGCTTTTACTTAGCTCACTTTTGACACCGTTTATTAAGAATTATCCAAAATCACAGTGATCAAATGATCTGATAAAGTGAACTGTTCATTTTATCAGATCATCAAGTTCATCAAGTTCACTATCAGATCTTTACCAGATCAAGAACTCGTCACTCACAACTTGAGCCGTGCTTTGTCCAGGTGTCGGTGAGCCCACATAACACTCGATATTGCCATCACCGAGAGTCATCGAAACGAATGCCAATATCAGTAGAGATTTCCGCATAAACATCATTTTCTTAAGAAGAGATAACCAAAATCGAGAATCGAGACAAAATAGACGAAATTTTATGTTAAAAAATTGAAAAATGATTGAAATTTCCCAGTTTCAAAAAGAATGTTCATATTTCAAAAATCTTTTATCCTAGCAACTGCTGATGCTCCAAATAATTCACCAGCGTTCACTTTTCTTTTTCTTTTCTCTTTCTCATCAAAGAAAGCAAAAAAAAAACAGGGTTTAGAAAAACGTGTTACAGAGAAGAAGGCCGATGATGAGAACTGAAGAAGTTGGAGCTGTCTAACTAGACTTTTAACTAGATGGCGAACCGTTTTGATGGAACAAAGCAAATTTACAACAAGAATTAAAGCCCTGGAAATTGCTTTTGCAAACTTTTGCCCAATTTGACTGTTTTTTTTACACACAAATTTTCAGACAAATTTAAATCAAAAAAATTTGAATCCGCTACACCAAAAAAGACTTAGATATTCGGAATGAAAGATTGGCCTTGAAACTTTGCGATTCGAAACTTTTTGTGTAAACCATGTACACTTGAAAAATGAAGCTTTTTTATGAAAATAGCTAGCTCTAGTTGACGTGGCTACTTAACAAGTAAAATATATTTATTAAGCTTAGTTGAACTGAAATCAATTCGACAGTATTGTACAGGGTTTAGAAAATGGTGATGCAGGGAAGAAGGCCGATGATGAGAACTGAAGAAGTTGAAGCCGAATTGCAACGATCTTTTAGAAGTTGTACTTATTTTCATAATTCATAATAGTTTTTTGGTTTTGTTATAGGTTTTGATACTTTTACATACTATAAGTCGAAAATCTAGCTTCTTATAATTATAATGAGTCAGATCAAAAACTAAGTATTGTACAAATTACTATTTCACAAGTGTAAAGTTGATAAAGTTTGAAAAAATTTTTAAAAATTGAAATTGAAACGTCGTATCAGTCTCTTATTTTGGAATTTGACCAGAGATTTTCTTTTGATTTTTTCAATTTCTTAGCTTTGCCGGTCGTAAATGTTTGTCTTTAGTCGTTTTTTTTATAAAATTTTAGCTTTTAAATAGAAAATATTAGGGATTGTAGATTTTTTAAACAAAATGCTGTCTTTTCTTATTCTACTTTTCTATTTTGTAGTCCGATCATATTCTTTTGTAAAAAAAAAGTCTTGACAAGTCTTTCGCTATGTGATATTTCTTGTAAAAAATGGAAAAGAGGATGAATGCAATTCATTCTATTTTCAGAACAGAATGCATTCAATGACATCATCTTTTTTGAGTGAAATCTTCTCTCTTTTGCTTGAAATATGAAAAAGGTGTAACTTTTCTTTTCAACTAGAGAGACTTATCTATAAAAAGTTCTAAAAAAAAGGTTCATTGTTAAATTGTTAATTATCCTAACATTTTTCTTTATCCCCATTAAGCATTCAATTGAGCGAAGTAATCAACTTGTTTAGCGCCCATGTACATTACCTGAAATCGAGCATCTAAATGATCAACATTTCTTAGGAAACTTCGAATTTCAAAATGTGTACAGTGCGTGCTGTGATGAGCTGACTGTGAGCAAATTAACAAACTTGTATCTTTGATTGTGAAATTTACTCTAACATTTTACTTTATCCCCATTGAGAATTCAATTGAGCAAAGTAGTCATCTTGATTGGCGCCCATGTACATTACCTGAAATCGATCTTGAAACTGATTTAAGAATAAGAATTTGAGCACTATACAGAACTTGGATATACTTTTATATATACTAAAATGATTGGTCTTGATCTTGACGTTGATCTTGATCTTGACCTTGATCTTGCCCATGATCTTGACCATGGTCTTGACCTTGATCTTGACCTTGACCTTGTCCTTGTCCTTGATCTTGACCTTGATCTTGGCCTTGACCTTGTCCTTGATCTCGAACTAACCTTTCCACTCGTATTAATCACCGGCTTTTCCTTAGAATCTCTCCTTTCCTCTTCAGCATCAATATGATTATGGATACGCCTGTAAATGTAGAAAAAAGAGTTTAGTAGAGATTGAGTACCATATTTCGATTCAGTTTAATGATTTTCTACAAGTTTTTCAATATCTTACATGATTTCCTTCCATTTTTCTCTCAAAATCTTTATCGATAGTTCACGAGTTTGCTGATTGCAAAAGCTTCCCATCCAGCTGAACGTGAAATATTGCCTAAATTTGATAAAAACAGAAAATTGAGCTTGCTTACAGAGCTAGTTGTAAATTCATGAAAACACCAAGAATATTACGAGCCGTCCATGAAATTGGAGCCTGATGGATACCGAAAAGAATTGAATAGATAATGTTGTTGATCATCGTGTGCACGATATATATTTGTATAATCTACAAGAACGATATTTTAGATAATTTCCAAACGCATATAATTTGATTGTCTCAAAAGTTTCCAAGGCTTACACGAATCGCTTTCACATTGATTGTCAATTGATATCTCTTGCTGAGTGTATAATCTTTTAATTGAAGTTTACTTTGTAAATCGTCGTTGATTTTAGCAATAATTAAAGTCACCTAAAAACAAGAATTCAGGGATTTTTATTTTATAGTTTTTTAATTTCATTTTCGATTTAGATTTTTTAATTTAATGTTTTAATGTTTTGATTTTATTGTCAACTTCATTGTCAACTTCATTACCAACTTCATTACCAACTTCATTGTCAACTTCATTGTCAACTTCATTGTCAACTTCATTGCCAACTTCATTGCCAACTTCATTGTCAATTTCAGTGTCAATTTCAGTGTTTAACTTCATTGTCAACTTCATTGTCAACTACATTATTAATTTCATTGTCAATTTCAGTGTTTAAATTGCATCAAAGCAAATAGCAAAGCCAAGCCAAGCCAAGCCAAGCTCTTACTCACCAATCCAGTCATAAATGTTGACACGATTTCGATAGCGTTTGCGATATTTCTTGTAAAAAATGGCAGTGCTAAAAGATAAATTGAGTAGAGTCTTGAAAACAAAGAAATAAACAAAGAAACAAACCAAAAAAGAAGCATCCACTGAGAGTGAGAGCTAAGAGAATGCCAAAAATTGTCATCACAATACAATATGATCGATAGTATTGATGCTCGTATGTTGCATAAAAATAGAGAGCCATAATTCGTTCAAACATTATGCCAGAAAAGCCGACTGCAATTGGATTGTTCAGTTAGAGGATTTTTATTGTTTTCCAAATTAAAATACAAATTAAAAAAGCAGATTTTAACTACCGTAAATACTGTAATTGGACCCCATGGGGTACTATTTTTTCCCTCCCCCTCTAGGGTGGGGTACTATTAGAGGGTGGGGCAATATTAGAGGGTGGGTTACTATTTTACACCACTATTCAAGTTACCAAATCAGGATACATTCAAATAATTTGTTCAAAAGCAAACTTTTTCTTTAGTTTTTATTGGTTTTAACCATTTGAAACTTTAACAGCAAAACGAAACAAAAACAACTAACAAGCGAAATCAATAGAAACATCCGAATCAATGAATTCATCATTTTCTTGATCATCAATTCCTCGATGTCCTTGAAATCCCGTCGATGCGAGCGGCTCCAAGAGGTCCTCGATTTCCGTCTCTGTCCGATTTCCGTCTCTGTCCGAGCATTTCTCATCGCCTGTAAGTACAATAGATTAAAGATAATTGAATCGATTAAATCGATAATTACAAAGATAATTATGTTCTCAAAAAAAAAATTTTTTGTTCATCGTTTTTCGAGGCACCACGACAAAAGGGCGCAACTTTTTCCCATCGGAACGGGCAGTGAGCATCACGGATATATTCATCTTGTCGTAGCCGCGGGTGAGAACACCAACTTCTTTGGCTCCAACCGCTTCGATGCACTTGCTCGTCGAAGCATCCAGCCAAACCGCCGTCTCATCGCAAGCAACAATGTGCTTGTAATCGCCTTCTTTGATTGTCTTGTTCAGCCTCAGAATGTGCTCGACGATGGCCTTCTCAAATTCGCTCGGCAGCTTTTGACAAGTTGTTGTTGGTGCCCTCAAAGAAAGTTGGTCAAGAACGACTCCATCCAGCGATGGCTTCTTTTGAAAGAAATTTCAGCTTTTTCGAATCGATTGGCGGCTTCATTCCAGATAATCTGGCGTGTCACTCGTTTCTTCTCGGCTCGACGATCCCGTATCCATTCAGCCAAACCGATATCAATCTCCTCCGAGTTCAAGTGGCGTCCGGCTCCATTGAGTCTCTTGCGTTTTCCGTGGACTTTCTCAAGCTCTATTTCTTGTTTGATGTAGGAACGCACACATTTCCGATCAATCTTATAGAATGCAGCGGCTGCTTTGATCGAAACATCATTGCCCATCTTTGCAACAGCCAATTTCGTTTTCACATCAATGGCCTTTTTCTTTTTCTTTGTAGGTAGCTCATCTGATTCACTTGAAGATCCTTCAACTTCAGCGTTGACCGAGCTCCCATTGGCATCTTGCTCGGCTCGTTCATCACGCGGTTCTTTGAAGAATTCCCTGTGTTCTTCGTATTCGCAACGAGCCCGATGTTCCTCAAATCCATCGGGCAATTTTCCATCGAGATCCATATCTAAAAAAATAAAATTAATAAAGTAAAGGGGCGCGGGGGTGGCTACTCTGCGCCAAATTCTTTGCGCAACTCGCCATAGCTTTCTTCTAAGTGGGCCAATCTTTATGATTGTAGATCTCAACAAGTGCAAAAAAGTAACACCAAAATCATAAAGGTTGGCCCACTTAGAAGAAAGTTATGGCAAGCTGTGCAAAAAATTTGGCACAAAGTAGCCAGCCCAAATTTGAAAACAACAAATTTATGGGATAAAATTAAAAATACAAACGATTTCTGAAAATACATGAAAATTTTCCGCTTTAAAAGCGTTGTTTGTAATTACGCGTTAGGTGGGGTACTATTAGAGGGGTGGGGTATTATTTTTTCCCTCCCCCTCTAGGGTGGGGTAGTATTAA